AAAACCAAACTTGGTTGGATTGATAAAGTCAGTTTTGAGGATTGATAAATTTTAGGCGTTTTTATCATACGTAATAAAACAAATCAAAAAAAGTATTTGTAGAGATTTTTCTCCCATTTGAACGATAGTGTTATTAATATTTGTAAAAAATATAAATGGAGGTGGTGATGTGAAAACTCAAAATAGAACCAGGAAAATCTATTTTAGCGGATTATGACAGTGAAACAGAAACAGCATCTAAAAGATAAGTAATGTTGACTTAATGTTAAACTCAAAATATTACATTCTTTATCAAATTTAGAACAATAAGTTTTTATGGTACGTATCTTAATTCTTACTTATACAACTCAAATCAAACTGAGAAAAAGAGCTTCTATTGAGATATCGGGTGTCAGCATAATTCTAAATAAATAAAAAAGTAACTTACTACAGTTTTTTTTTTTTTTTTTTTGATGAAATTAAATTATATTTAAAAATGTTTGTTTATTTTTAGAGAGTTGTTCATCATGCGTGAAAAGTGGATACTTACTTGTTTTCACAATTTATTTCAAGTTAATTATTCAGCACATATGCCTTTTTTTCAGGAGTTGGAGGTGCATATTGTGATAATGTGCACATGCTCAAAAAATTAGTGTTTGAATATTGAAAGAATTGAAAATGGTTTTGTAATCAATCATGACACTATAACTATGAATAAAATATTTACCAACTTGAACAGGAAGACGTTTCTTTACTTAAAAAAACCTATCTGTGATGTAAAGCCAATACAAGTAAATTAGTATCTTGTAATAGTGTTCATATTATATAAATATGAACACTTACTGCTTTCATATCCATCATATTTGACTGCACTATCACCTTTACATTAAATTGTTTTCCCTCTTTATACATAAGTCAAATTTTTTAACTCTTCCATGAAAGAATTAAAGACAGACAATGATTGAAAAGTTTCTCTTGATTCTTTTCCCAAAGAGTCGCCGCTTTGTAACTCAGTGGGGCATTTTGTGACTTTTGGAACCATATTAGGAAACCTGCTTCTGTTTTAAGTAAAAATGGCAAAAACATTGTTAGTATGATATTGCTAGTGTTTACATTATCTTTTTAATTAAATATTGCACTACCATCAAATCTAAACTTTATTTATACTTATATTTTCAATGTTAATATCTAAAAAAATTTCAGTTTAAAAAATCGTCAGTTTAATAGCCTGAAATAGACTGAAGTAAACACAAGAATAAAGTTCAAGATAATTCATTATAATTAGTGTTACTTCAGATTGTTTTCTTCTGAGATGTTTCCAATTAGGCAATATATTAAAACCTGGAAAAGTTTTTTTTTGTTAATATATGAATGCCTATCAAGAGCAAAAACTGTTTAAATTGACATTGTTTCTTTTGGAAACTTATTGAAAGAGTTTTACTTTAACATACTCTTCAAGCAAGGATTCCTTACTAGCTTTCAGAACTATTCTGAACTATCTGCCAGCTATTTTGAACTACTGTTTTCTGTGCAAATGTCAACTTATCGGAGCCAAGTCCTTAGCAATTACCAGTATACAACCTACTATATTTTCAGAAATACTTTTTCGTTATTTATTTTCCTCAGCAATGAAAATTTCAAATAATTCAAATTCAGTGAGCTTCATTGTTATTAAACTAAAGATATAAATATTTTTTGTTTGTTCATTGTCTAATAACTATTTAAACAAAATGATTTAAATATAAAATAATATAATTCAAAATATAAACAAGTTTACGTGAAAAGTAAAAATGTTATATTACTGCTATATACATCACAAAGACCTCATTTTTAATTTTAACTCTTGCAACTTGTTCATTTTAAAACAGATTTCAATGCTGCAATATTTTTTTATTGATGGCGGTACTAGCTAGATTAAATTTGGTCAAAAAAATGCTCAATAGAAAAGAGGGCTTGGGGGGTGGAGGCGATGGTCAAAAATTGGTCTTAATCCTTTTTTTAATTACTAGACATACCCTTTACTGAACACATCTTCCCCTTATGAAAATATGTATAAAATAATGTAAAATTATTTGCATTAATATTTTTAAATATATTTTACAAAAAGTTAAACTAAAGGGTTAGAGTCATACTTTTACTTTTTTTTTCAAAGTGCTAAGTTGGCACAATTTAATTAAAAAGCATCTTATTCCTCTTTCTTATAGGAGTTTAAAAATGTATGGGTTTACTAATGCCAACTTAGCACTTTTTGAGATAAATTATTTTTTCTGCTAAAAAAGTAGTTAAAAAACACTATAATTTTGCTAAATTTTAGTTGTTTCATTAGGTATAACATGTAAAAAAATTTTTTAGCTATAACCTAAGAAGTTAACATTCATATTTCCATAAACTGCAGGCTAAGATTGTTTCTACATACAATTACCACATTAGGACTTATATAATGCCAAAAACGACTTTTATGTATCATTTATACCTATTACTTATTTTTTGCAACAAATTTACGTTATTTGAACTTGTATATTTCCTGAACAAATTATGCTTTTGAATTAATTATTTTTTAATGGACTGGAAGTTTATTTGGCTTTCAATAACAACTAACTAAAAATTTCTTTTTTGTAACATTGATTTTTGAGCAATGTCCACTGTTTGGCCCACTGTGCTACCAATAAATACTCTCTAAGAAATACCAACCTTCTATATGAGCCTTTTTGTCGAACAATTTTGAATTGATTATTGTGCACCCCAATATTTGGAATAAAATTGTTTTGCCTAATTATAATTTTGATCTAACTACTTCTTTGCATCTTTTTAAAATTAAGTTGAAAAATTTCTTACTCTCCCATATTAACAAAATTTGATGATAAAAATGATACTTATGTTATAGAAATTATGTTAAAGAAGCTCAATAGCTCAAAATTTAAAGTTATTAGAATTAACTCCAGGTGCCCCGTAAGTCATTTTCTACCATCTGTCGTACTTGATAAGACTGAGGTTGAAACTCTCTCCAGCTACAAGTACCTTGGTATCATGTTAAATGAGAATCTAGGTTGGGACGAACAACTGGTAAAAGTGTACAACATTATAAAACCAATTCCATTTCTACTCAAGCGCCTTAAGCAAATCGGTCACACGCAATCCAATCTCTTGCAAATCTACAGGTCTTACGCTGTTAGCCACATGATATATAGTGCTCCAGTTCTTGCGTCATGCAGTATTGCGGCAAAAAAAGAGATTCAACATTTCAATAAAAATGCATTGCATATCATTGGTATTGACGCAACTAATTTGAGCCGCTTCAATATTTGTTTTAACATTGAAAAATTATTAGAAAAAGCATGTATTAATATCCTCAAAAAGATCCTTAATGACTTATACCATCCGGTAACCAATAAACTAGTCCGCACTGATAGTAGAAGCCCCGATAGATTTCCGTTTGGTCTTAATAACGCTAACACAAAAACTTACCAACAATCCTTCATTCAAAAATACCTTCGTATTTTACGTGATGGTGTCAACGATCTTTAACATTGGCAGCTCAGCTGCATTTTTAACACACAAGTAATCTGTTTAATAAACAGTATTTATTTGCCTGCGCTCTTGTGCTTCTACACTTCTTGCATTATTAGCAATAGAGAAAATTGTACAATTCATTATTTGTAATGCCAATCAATTTTAAATAAAGATTTATATATATTAAAAATATATATATATTTATTAAACTTTATTAACTTTACTACAAAGTGATACCTGTATGTATATTTTGTTTTATTATTTTTTAGTTACTTAATAATCTATTATTTTGTTAACACTAGTATAGGGTTCTGACGATAAGATCTTACTGATCTTCATAACCCTTCTTAACAATCTTTCTATTACTTGACGCATAACGTTTTTCTTTAAAATTGAAAGTATATTTTTCAATTATTTTGTTTGTAATTTTTAGTTCTTATTTTTTAGGATTTAGTAAATAAATTTGCAAACTAGTTAATTAATTAAGACGTTGTGTAAATCTCTTACGCAGTGCATTAGATAAACCAATGCTCAAAACTAAATATTGCTGAATTAATTTACCTAAAATAAATCGATAAGTCGCTTCTGCAATGAGGAGATTCGGAATATATATATATATATATATATAAGGGTATATTTTTCAAACTATCGGAATGATTTGAAATTTGGAACACTTATTGTATCTGCAACATACACTGGAATAATCTTTACTGCTTATCTCTTTTGGCAATTGAATTAACTTAATTCCACCTGTCGTCTAAATTTAAAAAAAAGATATTTTATCGAATTTGAGACTTAATTTAAATTTTTTCGTCAACGACAAATGACACACCTAATATTACCAACCTACACTTCAATAATAAAAAAAAAGAATAGTTTTACCCCAATTTCGGACCTTTAACGAATAACAAGTAAAAAAAAAAAAATTCAATTTTAAAAAAATCAAAGTTTGACTATAAAGTTAGTGGCCTAATCTTTATTTAAAAATTAAAAGGTCGAATTTAAGGTTCTATAGAATTAAATTCGAAAGAATTTAGAGATTTTTTTTTTTTGACGAATTCATTATTACTAACATTAATTTTCCATTAATAATATAGAAAATTTTGTTATTTCAAGGCTTTTTTAAAGAGACCTACTGCCAACAACATAAAATTTGCAACCAGTATTCTATTTTAGTACAAAATTACTTTCAACAAGACTGCACACAGCCGTTATTTGCTGATAAAAGAATAAATTTAAAGTTTTAATGGTAAAGTAGAAACCTAAGCGACAGGTTATAAAAACCAGGCAAATAATTTTTAAGCACGAATGTACGTAAAAAAAATACAACAAAATAAGTGTTTTTCAAGTATTTATAATTAATTACTAAATGGTGTAACTAACTGAATTAAGAGTCACGCAAGAATGTTGTTGAAATAGAAATGATCATTCATTTAAGCAGAGAATATGGTACTTTTTTTTGTAAAACAGACTATTTACGACGGTTAGACAGAGAATCAACCTTGATTGTTAGAAGCCCAACTATATTTAATATACATACAATAGTATAGATAAAAATTATTACATCAAAATATCAGTGACAATTTAATATGTAAAAATTATACAATTTGTTAAAAAAAGTAGTTAAATATTTATAAGATACGTGATAAAGCTAATAAATAATAGTTTGATATAGGAATACTTTGAAAATGCAAAACTATATGAAATATATTTTTACATTAAATACAAAAAAAGACACTACAATACTGCAACCCTTTTAAGAAATTGTGTCGTTACAGTATTTCGATAATATAAGATTATTATTACATTGGTTTCTCTAATTTTTTGCTTTGAGCTATTAGGTAATAAGTATAAATTATTCGCGAACAGATAGTAATGAATTAAAATTTTCAAATTTCAAAAGAAGCCTTTGGCTGGACCATTTGATGAAATGCATTTGGTGGAACGGAAATGACTTGAGTTTTTGGTCTCTCTCGCAGTATTGGCTTACTTACTCTTCGTGTCGGGAGCTTTGGAGATTCGGCTGAATTTTCAGATTTCAACCTGGTTCAGGCAATTAAACAGTTCAGTAATAATATGTAGAAAGTGAATTAAAAAAGAAAAGGAAACACTTAATCGGGGCTGTACTCATTTTAGTTCACATAAATTTAAGTCAACTAAAATGTCATTGAACTCACCTGACCTCGTGCTTTTTTGCTAGTTTTAAGAAAGACATCTGAAAATGAAAAATAGAAACCAGTAAATTAATACTTTTTTCAAGTAAAAAATATCTTGAAAATATTATGTAAAAATCTCCATCTTGCTATATTAACTATTCTTACTGATCTTGGAGTCACAACGCTCACTGTCTTCAGATGAGATCTTGTTGATTCAGGCAAATCAGATACTAGCTCCGTTTCAGAATTGCTTCTCTTATGGAGCTTGTTTAGAGTCGTCAAAGAGTCATGGGAAATAACGACATCTGCAGCTACAATATCAAGATATTTAGAAAAATACTTTTTTCATCTTTATAAAAATTTATATTTTATTTTAAGATTTTTGACAATTTTTGTGAAGTTCACAAACATTACATATAATCTTATTCATTGAATCTGTTTATCATAAAATCAAATTATTACATATATTCAGTATAAAATTACAGATCAACAAAAACAAAAACTTGAATAAAATATTTTAAAAGCCTATAAAATTAGGAAACCTTCTTTTAATAATAAAGTTAAGGGAGTTGACTGCTGCACATAAGTTTAAAGAAATTAAAAAAATCTAAACAGATTGATTTATCAACATTTTTTCTAGCATAAATACTAAGCTCTGAATTTTTAAGCCGGAACAGACTCTTGTCTTAATGTTTTCGCTAGTTTGGGCTTCATGGTCGGAGATATATTTATCGAGTGCTGATTCTGTAAAGAGCCTCGTCTTTCAAGGATGGCATTCGACCTTACCCAATCTGGTTCTATTGGAAAGAAAACAAAATAAAAAATCCTTAAACTTGAATGTGATGAAAATAGCCGTGGAAACTGTTAAAAAAGGTTTTTATAAATTCAATACAAAATGTGAACAGTTAACTCCTTTAACGTAAATGACAAGTTACATATATACTGACCAAGAATTAATGATCTTCCAAGTTTTCCTAAAATAAAATATAAAATAAAAAAGAACATAAATGGAAAAAATAAATAGTAATTATTTTAAATTTTTTTGACTAACGCTCCCTTAAGTTGACACAGTGCTGTGGAATAATTATATATTTATCATCATTAAAATGATAATAAATATATAATTATTCATTAAAGATGCTTATTACAACTATTGATAAATTTTTTGTAGAAATGAATATATATTTCATTATTTATTTTTGAACTAGACCTATATGCTAATTTTTTTTAAAGCTTTCCTTTTTGTGACAAAAATTAAATCGGTTTACAATTAGAAAAGAAAATTTTTACTATTTTAAAGAGCTCTAACAAAATGGGCATAGGTCAAAAAAATGGGCATAGGTCAAATTTCATTAAATCTTAATCTTAAAATGAGAAAAACGTTGCAAATCTTCATGTACAACTTCATCACCATCAGTGGTATCTTGTTTATTTTCTTCACTATTTCCCCTATTTTATATAGTCAACACTACTTTAACTTCTCCGTTATTCAAATGCCTCTTTTTCTTTGTAAGTTGAAGCTACGTCTTGTTGCAAAACATTTGATTTTAAATAGACAATGTTTAGTTTTTAAATGTGTTAATATCTCTTTGTCGACCTTTGACTAATTTAAAAAAAAGCCAAACATAACATGTACTTTGCATTTTTACCTTAATTAAATAATTCCAAATTGCTTTGCGACATAGCAGGTACTTTTATTTAAATATTAATTTGGAGATTAAAGCGAAGGCAAACATGCCTTTTTATAATCTAATTAAATATTTAGTTGAGATTTTAGAAAATAGTGCGGTATATTTTTCTTTGTTACCTACGTTTTCACGTCGCTAACGTAATTAATAACAAAACAAAAGATTTTAAAACGCTGCATTACTACTACAAATATTTTATTAAATATTTTTTTAAGACGTACATTTAAGACGTTCAGACGTACAAACATTTTTATGGAATAATTTTTGACTCGCAATATTTTTAAAAACTCAATTGAAAACTTTAAAAAAAAAATTGCACTGTGATGCACAAAATTATAAGTGCTATAGATGAAAATTGTGCCTAAAAGAGTTTTAAAGAGATTGTAATGTGTACATGTCGTCGCGTCGCCAATGGAACATTTAATCAACCAATAGTATTGATTTTTTTCTTGCATGCACTGAAATAATAAGGGATAGCAGGACCCCACTTTTCGTGATTGCAATCCCTATGTGCACGTTACAAATTGAAAAACTGAAATTAAACAAATGCATGTTAGTTATAACTTGACATTATTGAGGTATAAACCACAAACCAGAAAAGCTAACTTTACATTTATATATAAAAATTTCATATCTTTGTTAAGAATAATAAGTTCTATTATTGTTTATAGATGATTATGGCTTCCAATTTGATTGAACATGTTCAAGCTAGAACGTTCGAACTTTTGCCATTCTTCAAAAAGTTCAAATTTTTTCAACAGTTTAACCAAAATCTTTTTCAAATTGTGACTCTTTTAGACATTTATTGTTGTGACAATTATAGTAACACTTTTAAAATTTAAACAATAAACGGATTACGCAAACAAACTTTTTAAAACTGTTCGCCGGTGGCACAGGAAATTTTGCCGCTGTGGCATTATTTCCTAGGAAAATTTGCTACACAGCTACATAATTTCCTAGAAAAAATTGCTGCTGGCAGGAAATTTTGCCACTTTTCTTTATTGAAAAAAGTATGGATGACCAAGAGTACAACAATCTTGTTGATTTATTTGTCAAAGGAATATACCTTCAAGGCATAGATAAAGTTTGCAAAGAAGGCTTGAGAAGAAAATCTAAATATTTTTTAATAAAAGATGGGCTGCTTTTTTATTATAATAAAAAAAAAATATTGATCTGCAAGTCATATAACAAGTCAAAAAACTCAAAGATTCGGCAAACTTCAAGAACAAATCGGCATAACTTTGATCGACAAAGAGCAAACAGGTATGTTGAGCTAATAACTTTATTTTTACGATATTTTTGTAAGATATATTTTTGCATATAAAACTTTATAGTTAATACTGTTTATATATATATATATATATATATATATATATATATATATATATATATATATATATATATATATATATATATATATATATATATATATATACAGTGCTGGCCAAAAAGATCCGACCACGCATTGTTTATCTATGTATACAGTATGTACATTGTAGTGTAGGCGCTTTCCTCGGAATTTCACCATCACGCTTTGCATGCGTGATTGGCTAGTTATCAGCCAATCAAAACAGTTGTACCATTGTTATATATACCATCGCATGCGTAGCTGTGAATTACTATTTGCATTTGACTATGGCGACAACATCACCTGGAAAACGTGCTAAAATACAACTTTTGATGGAAGACGGGAAGTCTGAACGTGCGATTGCCGCACGTTTACAAATGCCTAAGACAACTGTTCACGACGTCATTCAGCACATCAAGTCAACAGGCACCAGCGCTGCAGGAAGATCCAGTGGCAGACCGAGATGTACCACATACTGCCAGAGGTCGAGCGGGAATCTATCTCATGCCGCCAGGTGAAACTATCAAAGCTGTTAATTATTTGCAAATAATAAAGGAAAATGTTCCTATTTGGCTCAGAACTCGCAACTGTGACATCTTTATGCATGACGGCGCGCCATGTCATCAGGCAAAGATCGTCAAGACATGGTTTCAAGAGAATTCCATCAATGTTCTTGCTCCGTGGCCTGGCTCGTCACCGGATTTAAACCCGATTGAAAATTGCTGGGTAAAATTGAAAGCAGAAGTGGCAAAAGCAAACTCGACGTCTGCGACAACTTTGAAGGAGGCTATACTGGAGGCGTGGTCCCAAAAAATAACGCCTGATTACTGTGACTCTCTTGTTGCCTCTATGCCTCGAAGAATAGAAGCTGTCCTCAAAGCCGGAGGAAGACATTCGAGGTACTAGAAACTCTTTTCTGATGTGAACTACTTGTTGGTTTCTTCGAAAGTGTGTCACTGACTTATGTGAATGTTGTTTGTTGCGTTTAATTCAATCATATTATCATTAAATTGAAGTGGTATTACGTTTCTGTCTAAAAACCTTAGTGGTCGGATCTTTTTGGCCAGCACTGTACATATATATATATATATATATATATATATATATATATATATATATACATATAGATATAGATATATAGATATAGATATATATATAGATATATATATATATATATACATATACATATACATATATATATATACATACATATATATATATATATATATATATATATATATATATATATATATATATATATATATATATATATATATATATATATATATATATATATATATATATATATATATATATATATATATATATATATATATATATATATATATATATATATATATACACATTTATATACATATATGTATATATATATATATATATATATATATGTATATAAATGTGTATATATATATATATATATATATATATATATATATATATATATATATATATATATATATAATGATAATAATTGTAACTTTTAATTCTGAAAATAATAAATAAACATAATTGTAAACAATGTTGTTTGCAAATAATATAAAGTTATTAAATACTAAATTAACTAAAATGATCATAATATTATCTTTATAGAGCATTTGAAAAATATTTAGCTGAACTACATCCTATAAGTGTTAATGGTGAAGTATGGAGTACAATTTGAATTGAATTAATTGGACCTCTTCCTCTAACAGAAAGAGGAAATAAAAATATTATAACAGCAACAAGTTTATTCTCTAAGTGACCTGAAGCTGCTTCCTTTCCGGTAAAACAGCTACAAATCTAGCGGAATTCTTGTATACTTTCTTTACAAGACATGGTTGCTGTGAAGTTCAAATAAGTGACCAAGGGTGAGAGTTTGTAAATAAGGTACTGTGTTGGTTTTATTTTTTGGATTAATTTGTTTAAAGTTTATTTTAAATTATCATTTTTTTAAATTTTTATGTATAAAACACCATTTTTTAATAATATCTTTCATTGTTATATGAAAACATTACATTGTAATTTGGGAACAATTAATGGACACCAGACTGAATAAGAACTAGTCAGAAATGTTTTAGTTATTAGTAAATGACAATGAAAGTTAATGTAAATAATACAGGTAATGTAAATAATAACCAAGATATAATTATTATTTTTTTCAGATTTTTTTTCATAAACAAAAATATTTTATTCAAAATATTTGTTTTAATATTAGTTTTTTTTTTAAAAAAAAAAAAAAGTGTATACACATTTTTAAACATAATTATTATTTATTATGATTGCTTCTATAAACTATTTTTTTATTGTGTTTTAATATTTGTTTATTACTTTAATTCGAACCTTTAATTTAAAACAATCTTGTTTTTCTTCTTAACTAAAGAGTTTTTCATAATAGCTTTTTGTTTACATAAACCATGAATTAAACAAAATGCTGGGAATTAAGTGCAATGTTGCAAGTGCCTACCTCCCACAGAGCAATGTACAGGATGAAAGGTTTTATCAAACTTTTCAGTGTCAACAAGCTAGAGTTCCTGTTGATTTGCAAATGAAATTGATTAAAAGTAATATTGAAAGTAAACATACTACTGACGAAAGTTTGAAAAATAGAGAATGTGTGTTAGGAGATGTAATAGAAATGCGAAAAAATGCACTAAAAAATATTCAAAAGGCTTAAGAACGCTAAAAAAAAAGATTAGGCTAAACATTGTTCTGAGAAACACTTGTACAAAGTTAGCCCTCTAGTGTTAATAAAAAATAGTAAAAAGCTTTCCAGAAAAGGTTCAAAGCTAGAGCCTAATTGGACAGGCCCAGAAAAAATTAGTCAATGTTTTAGAAAATATATTTTCCGGTTAAGTAATGTCAATGATTGCAATAAAAACTTGAAACAACTATACAATATGACTCACTTGAAAATTTATTATCCTCAATTTGAAAATGTGATTCCACATAATATTGTTGAAATAGTTGAAAAATGTTCAGAAAAAAAATCTTAACCCACTACCGAACAATTTACTATTACTTTTATACAAACAATGAAAAAAAATAATATTAGACAGTAAAGAATTAAATGATGAACATATAAATTTTGCTCAAATGATCACAAAGAAGTAATCTCCTGATATTTTTTATTTGCAGGATACTTTATTGTCACAGACTGATGGATTTAAGGCAATAAATAAAGAATTTCCGTTCAAATCCACTTTATTAAATCCCACTAGGTCACCTCCTGTTCAGCAAACTGGTCAGTTTCACTATATGATAGTATGTATAGCAATATAGATTCAAGCTTAATTAACCAGTTGACCAGATATTACAAGAACTTTGGTGATTTTGATTGTGAATTTCCACCAAATATTTTAATAAATGTTAAAAGTGTGGCTTATTTGCTATAGCAAATTCTGTTCACTTAGCCTTTAGTGAACAACCGGATGATTTAATATACAATCAAAGATTCATGAGACATCACCTTGTAAAAATGTTTCAGGATGGACAGTTTAAGCCCTTCACATTACTTGGGGAAACCAGTAACTTCAATAATAAGCATAACAGTCTTAACTGTAAATATTTAGTTTTTTTGAAGTAAACTTAAAGAATTTTCTTTATTTTTAAGATATATTTTTATTAATCATCTCGTGGTATTAAATAAGAGACTTCAAATTGTTTTGTTTCTTTTTGAATGCATTAAGAGCCATTGTCTGAGAAATCTAGGCAAAGTCTGGAAGTAATGTCTTCAAATTATCCTCATTTTCAGATATTTTGAAAAAGACAATGAAAGTAGGCCACTGGTAAATTTTTTTTTCGAAAATTCTTATTTTTTTTGGAGATATTGGGTCCCAAAATTTGGCATATTTTGAGAAAATATTTGCGCATGGAGTGCAATTGCTACTTTGAGGGACAATTTTAGCAACATGAATAGGAAAGACACATTTCTTTTTAATTTTTCTGCTGATCTGGGGATATTTCTACAGTAAAAGTCAAAATTCAACATGGTTACATTTTAGGTTGTCTAGAAATCATGGTCCAAAACCACTAAATTTGAAATTTTACCCTAACTTTGAGCTCTAATATCTCCTAAGTTTTTTTAGGTGTTTTGAAATGAATAAATCGATTATATGGAACAAAAATCATGTGCACGCAAGTACCTGGAAATGAGTAACCTGCCAAAAATCACGTTTTGCGTTTAACACACTTTTATATATTACCCATAACAACATAAAGTATTGGAACAAAGATGGAATCTTTCAAGCTAATGAATTGACTGCTGACATAACTAATCATTTACAAGCTTTAAAGGTATGAATAACATAATAACATTATTTGCATCTAAAAAGCTCTACAGATAACAATATTGATATATTAGAACCAGTTCCAACTGTTCACTTTCTTGAAAGTGAATTTGGTTTTTCCACTTTCACTAAATTTTTTTCACTAAATTGTTATAACTGACATTGGGATTTGATCCACTAATGTAAAATAAGGAAAAATTTTCACTCAAATAAAATTGTTAGAGAGCAGTTCAGGAGTACGCTCAGTCACTCTCAATCTCTCTCTAAATGACTTAATTGACCCTGATCACCTTCAGCATCATAGCTAAGACTAATCGGTTTAAAGCTGAAATATCAGCCACAATCCATCCTTAAACAAAAGCCATTAATTTGATCAGTGACAAGCCTAATTCATTTGATTCAAATTTTAACAAAGACTTTGTAGCTTCTGTTACTGATGAAGCTAGCTAGATGAAAAAAATTGGTCATGACATTTAACCTAAACATGAAATGTGTAACAACCATACTATTTACCTATGTGTGGTTGATGTACTTTTTACAAAAAACAAAGTTGATGCACATGCTTATGATTATAACCATGTTAAGGGTGATATGGAAGCTGTAGATTTTTATCAAGATTAAAGTGGTGATGAAAATGATGAAAATGAAGTTAACGATATTTAAATTGTTAATGCAGTGAACATTCTTTTTCATTACTGAAACTTAAAAATCAAGAAACTGTTGCAAAAATAAGAAAACTGGTTAAAAAATTTTGTAGATCACCAGTGAGAAATGACGATGGACTTCAACCAAAAAAAAAAGTTAAAAAAAAAGCAGCATTGGTTTGTAATTCAAGAATAAGTGGGTGCACTACTATGAATATGCTTAAACTTGGAGGTGAAAACAGAAGTAAAAATAGCTCTAATTGAATATTGATTTTACACCGACTAAAAATTAGCTTAATGAGAGGTTTTATGATTAAAATGGCCATTAACATTATTTCAAAAAGAAGTAACTTATCTTTTGTATTCTGAAATTGTGATTGAATATACAAGAAGAAAAATTAAACCAAGCTATAAGTACTAACCTATAAGTCAACTTCTTAAACAGCTATTTGAAAATAGAAAAACGTTGATTTAATTCAAAATACTAACCTTTCCACTAATCTAATTCAGCGATTATTTCAGCCATCTGACAATAGTACTGTTGATGACAAGGAAGTAAACACTAATGGTACAACTCATAATATGAGAAGTAAACAAACCTAATTAAACTTAGCTCAACAACACGAACTTTTTTATTGAACAACCAGACATGAAATGAAACTTAAGAAAATTGAATCAAAACTTGTTTAAAAAAAAATGTTTTTGAATAATTTTTTTAAAGCTCTTCAAACAACTCCTACATTAGTAGAAGTTTTTCTTTTTACTTTAAATGGCGTTTCTTTTTTCTTTAAATGACAAAACTTTAGATGCATTGACTTTTTTAAAGCAAACTTGAAAAGGTTGTCATTGATTTTTTTTTTTTTAAGTTTTACCTGGCAGTCCTAATTTTGAAAGAAACAAAGAATAATTAAAGTATGTAAGGCAACATGTATACATAAATGTATGTAAATCTATAATATATATTTTTTACATAAATATAAACACACACACACATATATGTTTATATATATATAGCATAATATACTTTGGTAAGCAGTCTAACGTCATAGTGAAATAAGTAGATGCTGGGGCTTCAGTACATACATCAACTATCTAGGTAGAACAAGCAAGAGAGTGCTGTTACACTAAGGGTTTGGGTTAAGGCAGCTTTCATTATTTTTCATTATTCTTTGGTTTTTTTTTTCTTCAAAAAAACACTAAAATAGGAAGTAGGGCTAGGTCGCATTAGTAAATATGCTGATCTAATTTATCTGAACTAGTACCTGTTCTGCATTTATGGATATGTAAATTGGTTCTAAATCTCAGCTAGTTAGTTTTTCCTATATATGTTGTTTTTCCATCATATCCATTACACAATAGAAAATAAGTAACATTTTTTGAATTACAAGACTTTGATGTTTTAATATTCCATACTTTACCCAATGATGTGGTAAAATGGTTGACAAACTGAAGGTAGATAGTACATATTTTATAGTACATAGTACATTATAAATATTTGTATTGTATTTGATTTGATTTTACTTATCATAGTTGGAAATTTTCTTTTGTTGTAGTAACTGATTGCTAAACATTTTAAAATGTTTAGTTTTAAATGTTTTGTTGCATCCCTCTAAATGAGTTGCATATATAATAAAATAATATTGGAATTAAAAAATTAAAAATATATATATTTTTAATGGTTGCTTAAGACCCTTAAACATAAGACAGGTTCCTAATATTATCAACAAAAAAAAGTTCTTTAAAAGTATATCATGTTGGTTCTCAAAATAAACAAAATTATATATAAATTTCAAAACAAATCATCATTTTATAAAAAAAATTATTATTTTAAATTTCCGCCTAAAAATAAAAATATGCAAATTTATAAAAAAAATTTATTATAATTTTTCTCTCAATGTTTTTTACAAAATAATTATTTTTGAAATTAATAATTTTGCTTCTTTTGAGAACCAACATGATATACTTTTGAAGAACTTTTTTTGAAAATATTAGGGACCCGTCTGATGTTTAAGAGACTTAAGCTACCCCTAAAAATTTTTTTTTTTTAAAGTTTTTAATTTCAGTATAATTTTATTTAGAGGGTGGGAGCAGACATTAAAAAAAAATTGTTTTAATGTTCACCCTAATGTGTGTGTGTGTGTGTGTGTGTGTGTGTGTGTGTGTGTGTGTGGTGTGTGTGTGTGTGTGTGTGTGTGTATATATATATATATATATATATATATACATATATATATATATATATATATATATATATATATATATATATATATATATATATATATATATATATATATATATATGATATAAATTTATATTTACGTTGAACATCAGCAGCTACAGTATCTTTTACAATGTCTTTTGGCTTTTTGCCACTGTGGTCACGTTGATGTATGTTAGCACCTAATTAAAATAGATGTTTATCAAAAAACAACTTTTTTTTATAAAAAATTAGCTGTAAAATCAGATGTAAAGGTAATCTGTATTTTGAAAATTGAAACGAAAACTTTGAACATTATAACAAAATAATATACCATAAAGCTCAATTAATTGCACTATGACTTGATTATGACCACTTACAGCTGCTAAGTGCAGAGGAGTATATCCCTAAAATAATAAAAATAAAAATTTTTAGCAATATTTTTCTAATTAATTCAATGCAAAATCAAAAATAATATTCAGATAAAACAACATAAATAAATGCAATAGAAATATTAATTACAGAATATGATGAACAAAACATACCATCTAACAAGAATCCAAACCAATATATAAAAAGTTAAAAAAATGCAGTTACAATAACAAACATATTTTTTAATACTAAATGTTTTTATATTATTAAATGTATAATTATTACTAAATTAACAAAATTAGTAAATGTTTAATTATTGCTATATGCTTTAATTTTATTTAATTAAAATAGTCAAATATTTTAGTTTTATAAGAAATAAAAAAAAAATTTTACTTACATTCTTGATTGAAATAACCAAACATAAAATAAAAAAATTATGAAAGTTATACATTTTGATGTTCATGAAAAAAAAAACCATTAATATTAAAAAAAATATATTGTTTGTCGATGTTTGCCAACAAAATAAGAAAAATGAGCTATTATACCATTTTATCATTTATATTTATATATATATATATATATATATATATATATATATATATATATATATATATATATATATATATATATATATATAATATATATATATATATATATATATATATATATATATATATATATATATATATATATATATATATATATATATATATATATATATATATATATTATAAAAATGATAAAATGGTATAATAGCTCATTTTTCTTTTTTGTAAACGAAGAAGACTGATATATATATATATATATATATATATATATATATATATATATATATATATATATAATAAATATAAAATTAATAAGTGTTGGACAGGGTGATACAAAAAATATTAATAATTACCGATTTGCAATTAACATCACCACCCTCAGATATAACATACTTCACCATATCTGGGCGACCAAGTTTAGCAGCCCAATGAAGAGCTGTCTATAAAAGTTAAAAATCAAGCTACTAAAAAAAAGATTATAAAAGGAAACTTTTTAAAGCCAACTTTTTATTTATGTTGGAAAGGAAAAAAAGAAACCCTCAGTCGATGTAGCAGCACTCGACTGCGAGTCAGGCTATTTGTCAGTGGATGTATGTACTGAAGCCCCCAGCAGCAGGCTATTTCAGTATGACGTCAGATTGCTTACCTTAGTACGCAATACTATTTGTATATATACATATATATATATATATATATATACATATATATATATATATATATATATATCATGGGCTATTCTAGACCGTTTTCGACAGCGTTGACCGTATTTGGGCGTGACCCAAATTAAAAATTGAGGACCTTATTTTTATTACTATTTATAGGAATATTTATTTTTTTTTTGCAAAAAAATGCTGATTTTCTGCTAAGTTTTGCTGAGACAGGGAGTACCGCCACCCAAATTTTTTCTCTAAAATAGGCCCTATATATATATATATATATATATATATATATATATATATATATATATATATATATATATATATATATATATATATATATATATATATATATATATATATATATATATATATATATATATATATATAGAACACATTAAATATATATATACATATATATATATATATATATATATATATATATATATATATATATATATATAGAACACATTAAATATATATATATATATATATATATATATATATATATATATATATATATATATATATATATATATATATATATATATATATATATATATATATATATGGGTGTCCCAAAAAATGTATTTGAAAAATAAATGCTGCCACCCCTTTAATGTGTTCTATATGATAAAAAGACACTAGCTTTAAAATATTTCTGAATAAAAGATATTATTAGGGGTCCCTCAAAACTCTTGAAAATATAACGAATTCCTAATATTATAAAAAAATTCTATAAAAGTGTATCATGTTGGGTCTCAAATGAAGCAAAATCATATAAAAATTTCAAACGATAGCAATAAAAACGATAATTTTCATTAACTCAACTAGATTATTTATTTGTAAGTTGGGAATGAAACATTGTAATAGCAGAGCTAATGAAGATGAGTTCTCACCATACCAAGGTACTACTCATACGCTGAGTAGGTGGAGCCAAGATTTGAACTTGCAATCTTGCTGCTACAGCCAATAGTAATTCCGAACTTTAGTAAAGCTTTAATAAACTGAGCTACCCCAGTTCAAATAAAATTTTTCAAAAATGATAATTAAATAATAGAAAATAAATATGTTAGATTTAACAGCATAAAAAATGAAGTTCATTAACTAAAAAAGTAAAAAGTGCATTTTACCAATTTTTTTGACAAATTTTTTTTAAATAAATTTTTTATAATATAATTACTTTTGAAATTTTCATATGATTTTGCTTCATTTAAGATTGTCATCATTTGTTTTTTTTCAATTATTACAATTATTACATCAGATTGCCATTTTTTTTTTTTTAATTATTACAAACTTTTCTCAACTTTTAAACTTGAAAACATAAACCCTGACAAAAAACTTGAAAACACAAACCCTGACAAAAAACTTGAAAACATAAACCCTGACAAAAAACTTGAAAACACAAACCCTGACAAAAAACTTGAAAACATAAACCCTGACAAAAAACTTGAAAACATAAACCCTGACAAAAAACTTGAATACATAAACCCTGACAAAAAACTTGAAAACACAAACCCTGACAAAAAACTTGAAAACATAAACCCTGACAAAAAACTTGAAAACACAAACCCTGACAAAAAACTTGAAAACATAAACCCTGACAAAAAACTTGAAAACATAAACCCTGACAAAAAACTTGAAAACACAAACCCTGACAAAAAACTTGAAAACATAAACCCTGACAAAAAACTTGAAAACATAAACCCTGACAAAAAACTTGAAAACATAAACCATGACAAAAAACTTGAAAACACAAACCCTGACAAAAAACTTGAAAACATCAACCCTGACAAAAAACTTGAAAACACAAACCCTGACAAAAAACTTGAAAACACAAACCCTGACAAAAAACTTGAAAACACAAACCCTGACAAAAAACTTGAAAACACAAACCCTGACAAAAAACTTGAAAACATAAACCCTGACAAAAAACTTGAAAACACAAACCCTGACAAAAAACTTGAAAACACAAACCCTGACAAAAAACTTGAAAACACAAACCCTGACAAAAAACTTGAAAACACAAACCCTGACAAAAAAAAAAAATAAGTTTATTTAACTTAATTTAAACCACATGATAGAATTATATTTACTGAGTGTTTTAGAAAGTAAAATAAGTAACATAAATAAATTTTTTACTTACATACTTAAATTTGAAAAATGATCTGTTTAAATCTCAGTACAAACCATACATAAAGAAAAAAAAAAAAAAATTAAGAATGATTTTATTGAAATTTTTATTTGATTGATATAATAATTAAAAATTACTTACCCCCTTAAAAATATCATGACATCACATCATCAAATGTTACCAAATTGAAAAAAAAGAGAAAAAGAAACAATAAATATAATAAACTGTACATAATTTCATAGAGTAAATTGATCAAATATTGGCTACAAATAATTTAAAATATTTAAGCTACTTTCTATTATAAAAAATTTCTTATCAATTCAAATTTAATTTTAACAACTTTTACTATTTTAAAGTATATAAATACAACTTTTAATTTTAACAACTTTTACTATTTTAAAGTATATAAATACAACTTTTTAGTAACAAGCTATTTGTTGGTTGTTTTGTTCCAATTTTTCAATTGTGGTTTTCATAACTACAAGTAATTGTAAAGCTTAAATACACTAAAAAGATACAAATTCCATTCCATTAGATAAAAAAAAAGGAAAAAAGATTTAATTTAAACTTTAACAGAAAAGAGATATTTTAAATCTTTTCATAAAAAATATTCGTAAAAAATTGAACATATTTGTAAAAAAATATACTTTTGCATTTCAATGGATTTTATTTGACTTGTGCCATCAAGAATGACATTAATTTTATCATCTGGGTTGATGGTCATTATTTTTTATAAATAAAATTCTAACCATAAAAGAAAAAAATATTAATTAATAAAAAATTTCTTGTAAACTGTCAGATTCTGAACAAAAATGTTTATTACTACCTTGGTCACTAAATGATAAACATACCTGGAAACTATAAGGTAAAAAGTAAACACTCAAAAAATTAATGGTAAACCTATCCAAACTGTAAATGGTAAACATACTCAAACACTAAATGATAAGCATAAGCATAGAGTACTTCATCAAAAAGACTTACAAACTAGATAACATAATTAAAATAAAAAAATTGAACAACCTTTTATAAATTTCAAACACTTTGAAAATTTATATTGTAAATTATTGAAAATGTAATTTATAAACTAGTCCATTATCTCTCATCGTTAAAATATTTGTAAACAATGGTAGATTTTTCTAACAGAACTTTTCAAAGCTTAGAATTAAATAATAAACTTCATGTTGTTATTTTAATTATGAAAAACAAACTTTTTCATATAAATATAGATTATCATTTTTTTGTATTATTAGCTTTAACTCATTATCAGCAAAAAGAGTATCGAAACTGGCTATTGATTGGTATTTTTGGTATACACGACCATTTTTATTCAATTTACGCTGTTTATTTAAATGAACATAATACAAAACTTAATTGCAGAATTTCAATTGAAGATAATGTTATAAGTTACAATAAAACTTGCAATAGATTTAATAACTTTAACCCTTTGACTGCTTGATAAAATTAAAAGATGTCTGAAAAATTCAACTAAAAAACCAAAAAAACAGAAAGAAAAAAAATAAAATATTGAGAATGTGTACCATTTTTCATTTTGTAACGTCTACAAAATTTATAAACAAAATTTTTTTAGCTCTCATTGTATAAGTAATGAATGATATTTAGAAAAGCAAGTAGGACATATGTCTACATCATCAAGATTGGCACAGCCAAGATGTGCAAACTCAGGATTGCGGCCAGCCACACAGTTTTTCTTCTTTTTATAACCAATTTTTACTCAATTATAACCATGTAATGTGATGTTAGATGATAAACTATATTTAACCAGTTAATATTAATAATACAACTATTATATAAATAAAATTGTGCCTTCATCAAAAAAACTTTCATCACAACTACTATATTTTCTTAACTAGCAGAGTTTTCTTCATACATAAAGGTGTCTTTGTTATCACAGAAAAACATTTACGAACAATATATCAAAGAAAAGAAAAAAATATGCACTAATCAGTGGTACCATTTATATTTTACCAAATGCGATATTTTTGCAACAAAGGTCATAATTTTGAAGATCAGTTTTAAAAGCCACGATCATGGCTCCCGCACTTCAACACAATAGCCACAATTGTGGCTTGCCACAGTTAAAGGGTTAAAAAAAATTTTACAAAAACTTTAAACTTTTTTATAATTTAAGAAATTGATTTACCTAATATTAAATAACTTAAAAATGAAAATTCCATAAATCATTTATCACTAGATAGTGTCTAGTATTAATTGAAGCACAAGAAACGATTCTTCAAAAAGAAAGTATCCAGTTTTCTTTTAGAAAATATTTTCAATAACTTAACTATTCAAATAAAATTTATGGTGACATTAAAAAAAAATTTATTGCAATTGTTTAACAATCCTGATTTACCTTATAATTGAAATAAAAAATGTTTTTAACATACCATGATAAAATCTTTTTTGTGAATTAACTTAGGATGAGCTTTTAAAAGTGAACTAAGACCGCTTAAATTCCCATGACATGCAGCCAGCATCCACTCCTTTTCTTCAGCAAGCATCTAAAAAATCTAATACTGTTATGAAACTATGAATATTACAGTCACAATCAATGATAATTACTATTTCCAGTTAATAATACTATTTACAGTCACACTCAATGATACCTACTACTTCCAGTTTTTTTTATTTCCACTTTAAATTGAGTTTTAAAGCTTTCAATAAAAATCAATATTTTAAACTTTTATGATTCAAGATTTACTGATTTGCAAGAATGCAACTTCAAGATTCAATGTTTAACTATGCAAGAATGCAACTTGTACCATACTTGGTTGATTTGTTAGATTCATTCACTGATTTTATGCCATTATTATCCCATCAAATTTATATTAAGAGAGTTCATTGTAGAGAAGCTTATTATTTTTTAATGTTATCTCTTATTATTTTGTCTGTAACACATTCTTTTCATGCTTTCATACATATACCCTTGATATTATAAAAATAAAGATTTCAGATTTCATCTAAAAATCATTATTTTTTTAATAACAAATTAAATATAATTTTTATGTATTTGAAATGATTTACATAGGAGAGAGTAAAAAAGTCTAAAAAATGTCAAAAATTAAAAATTAAAAGTAATGACAATATATAAAGTTAATTTGAACTTTTTTATTAACAATCTCATTTTAATATTTTAAAATGATTCAAATGTTTTTTTGAAATTTTAAAAGAAAACAACCTTGAACAATAAAAAATCAATCACTCGCCTATAAACTTTTTTTTAATGTTTTAAATTTAATTTAATGTTCATAAATTGAATTAAGAAGATTTTTTAGCTGTGTTGTATTTTTGCTTTTCCTTCCATACCATATTTAAATTAATAAGAAAATAATTGTTTTCTAATTCAGAGCCATAATGGGTGGAAATGTGAGCCAACAACTTAAAAATTTTATGATTAAAACTTAAAATTCTTCTAGACTTTAAATAATTCCAATAGTTACTACTAGCAATTTACAAAATTATTTTAATTAAGTTAATAAAACTATATAAATATATTTATTTCGTAAAATTTTTTTTTTTTATTTTCAATGCAATATTATGACACCATATAGTTCATCTTTTATTTAACAAACTTATAGTTGTTTAAAAACTTTAAATTAAATTTTTAATGAAAAACAGATACCTTATAATAAGTAAAAACTTACATCTAAACCATCATTAAGTCCAATATCATCTAAAAAAAAAAATTTTTGTTGTAAGATTGTGCATATTAAAATAGATTTTTTTTAAATAAAAGAATATTTAAATTTAAATAAAAGAAAAATTATTAAATATAAGCAATTAAATATGCTTTGGATAAATATCACTTTTCCACTGTTTGTAAAAAATATATCATTCTTGAATCCATTTAAGTGCTAAAAAAATCATAACGCAACAGTAATGGTGCAAACCTTAAGTAAACCATTAGGTAATAAGAACTTAAATAATTTAATTATTTTTGATTGTTTACATCAAAGTGTGCATAATCTCTGCGTATTAATTTTGAGTAATTATTAAATGAACAGATTTTCAAGAACAACAAGATTTTCTTCATTATTATAAAATGAATATTGTTTATATATGTAGATACAGAACTCTTTCAGGGCTGCACACAGTATGTACACAGCTGCTACTTTAACTACAGCTGCATGGATTGATGTTGAATTGATTTTTTAAGAAGATACACAATTTATTGTTGAAGTTTGTTAGTTTATTTACATAAACAGTTTTTATTCTGTATTTAAATAGGTGATGGCAGGCAACAGGTAAATTTCATCATCATAGCTTCATCAAACTTTTACAAACATTTCTAACAAATTTCAACACTCATTTTTCTCAACATTTAAAATTTATTAAATTCAACAGTTTAAACAACAGATGTAAATAGGCATTGGGATATTCAACAGGACAGACTACAAAGCAACAGGACAGTCTACAAAGCAACAGGACAGATTACCAAGCAACATGGGTGCTGGCAGGAGGGTGCAAGTAAGTGCATGTACACCCCCCTAGCTTTTTTAAAAAAAAAGGAAATGGAGAAAAAAAAATTAAAAAAAATCTGTTAATAATAAGAAAAAACACACAAAAATAGTTTTTATTTTAAATTTTCTAAATTACAATTAGATATTTACATTTTACAACTTACAACTATACATAAACAGTCATTCACTTTGTTTCTAAAAGAGCAACTCAAGTCTTCTTTTTTGTTGTTCAAACTTGTCTACAACTTTGTCGATAAAAATTGGACAATTATTCTTTTTTTATGTACACTAAGCATACATAATCCACTTAGTCTATCGTCATTCATTGTAGATCGGTTCCATGTTTTGATGCGCCGTAATGTGCTAAAAGATCTTTCAATACTACAGGTTGTTTCAGGTCAATCTTGAGTGCCTTGGAAACAGCTGGATAAAACTTCGTAGCTGCTTCAATTAAACTCATGCAATTAATTATTTTACTTATTAGATTTGAGTTCTTTGGTAAATTTTTTATAAGAATCAATAAAAAAAAAATTTTCGAAAAAATGTTAAATAAAAGGGGATCTACCACTTTAAACTAAGTAAATATTTTTTTAAATCTATTGCATTTAAATTATTTGCATATATGCTAATATGTACCCTGCTCCCAAAAACAATATTTCATAATTTGAACAAGAAAAATATATTGCAGCGTAAAATATATAAATCAGTATAAATGATTGAGTCATTATTCAGTAATTACTGATAGACAAAAACTTACTGACCAGTCAGTCACAATGACTGAGTCATAAATAATAATTGTAGATTGGGCTCAGTTATTTAGTAGGTACATACTTATACAAAAAAAGTTTTTGTTGCATGGGGAGGGGGGGGCGTCATAAAAAGAAAAAAATCTCTTCATGCACCCCCTGATTTAAATCCTTGCGGCAGTACTGCCAAGCAACAGGACAGACTACAAGGCAATGAACTTGATTATAAAATTTAAGCCGTTAGTGAACAATTAAATAGAATGATGAAAAAAGTATAAACAGCAACACAAAAACTATAACAGTAAAAAATAAAACTTATTAAAGAAATCTTATTAAATGAAGCACAAAAGGTGATTCTTCAAAAAGCATTATATATACATGAAATATGATTATATATACATCAAATATGACAAAAGGTGATTCTTCAAAAAGCATTACATATACATGAAATATGATTAAATATACATCAAATATGATTACATATACATCATACAAACATGGAGTTTGAAAGAGTTTTCACAGGAGTAGGGGGTTTTTAAACAACAACAAAAATTGAGAAAAAATTGAGAAAAAAAAACTCAATTTAAAATTCATTTAAAAAATAAAATCCATGTGTACTTAGTACTCACATTATTTTTCATTACTTTTTTTTTTTTTTTATTATGTTAAATTTATTGAATAAATTGTAAAACAACATTAGTCAACAACAAACAAATCATTTTAATTATAATACCATTATATTAGTCATTTTTAGTTGTTCTTAAAAGTTGATTTTTCACTTGTTTCACTTGATAGGAAGATATTTCTAATTTACACTGAATACCATGATTTCCTTAGTACAAATTATATAATCCTGAAATCCCGGGATTGAGAATACCCCAAATTTTTGCCATCTCTATTGATGAAAATTTTTAAACTAAATTCATAAACAAAACAATGCAGTGATGAAAAAAAAGAACGAAAGAAAACGTTTTAGTTTTCTTCATTAGTAAGCATATCTATTATTGTGCATAATCATCTGTGTGTTAAAATTTGATAAACTGACAATAAAAATCATTATAAAACTTTGTGGAAAACAATATTTGCAAAATAGTGATTCATTTTTAAAAATGTATAAATGAGTTATACAGGTAAAAAAAAATTACAAATCTAGGTAATAAATCTAGATAATAAATGACATTACTAGGCAAAAAAGCCTAGGTATAAAGTAATAAACATAATAGATTCAATAGAATAATAAATATAAATAAATTTCAGAAAATACAAAAATAAATTTATAGTAACTTAAAAAGTATAATGAAAAAACCTTCAAGATCACCAACTTCTTCTTCCACTAGCTAAATAAGAAATAAGTGTAAAACATGATGAATAAGCAAAACTGACCTTTGTACATAAATTACTTTATATATTGCATTAATTTTTCTCTAATTTAAATAAATTAATAAATAAAATAACATTAATGATCAAATACCGAAACAGCAATATGCAAGAGCATACAGTGACTGATGGGTCGGGTGTTTATATCAGGGTGTTAGCCAGCTCAATGGCACCGTGTATATATATATATATATATATATATATATATATATATATATATATATATATATATATATATATATATATATATATATATATATATATATATATATATATATATATACATACATACATACATACATACATACATACATACATACATACATACATACATACATATATAAAAGCCACTGTCTAAACATTTTTTTTTTTTAGAACACATTAGCTCACTTATGTGGGATTTATGTGATACATATAAATATTATCACAGTTCCGAAAAAATTAGCTAATTTGGACTTATGAAGGTAATTTTGGGAAATTTCTTCAAAGTTTTCGATTATTTATCTGTTTACTCAAAATAATTAACCTTTTTTTTTTTTTTTTTGCAAGATTCCTTTTTTATTTGAAAGTGTTCACAGAGAGTTCTTATTTTGATTTAATTTAGGTTAGTTTAATGGAAGCACTGTTTTTATCTCACCTTTGCACCCTGCGTATGGTTTATCTAATTTTTAACATTTATTACTGCAATACAAAAACTTTTTATTTTTCTCATATTGGAAGAAACAACAAAATGTATTTTAAAGAAATGTTTGTCATTTTTAATATATACTTGTATCATAAAAGATGATACAATTACTTTGAAGAAAGTATGCAATGGTCGCATTACCCTTGGTTTCCATTCTGCTCTAGTTTTTAACCAGCATGTAGTTATGTCTCTTCACCCTTCCATAAACTTTTTTTAAGGCTTCAGATAAAAGTTTTACAGTTCTTTCCACTGATTGTGAGTTGTTTGGCAGATCAGTGAGAGAAATTTTTCTAGCAGTTTGAATAGTTTGTTGTAACTTACATGAGGTAATAAAAAATTAAGTAGGACACTCAAATTGTAATAAAGCAACATCAACATCAATCAACATTATTATCAACAAACTTCAAACTTCAACTTTGAAGTTTAAAGGTATAACTACCTTAGCTTTGATTTTTGGCTTGAAATCCGGATTGATTTCCCTAAAATAGTTGCTCCAAACTTCAGCTTTGAAGTTCAAGGGTATAGCTTTGATTTTTTGTTTGAAATCCCAATTGATTTTCTTGAATAGCATAATTTGAATTAGCATAATTTACATCGACAATAGGGGCTCTTAAACTTTCTCATCGTCTTGCAACATATACCATCTAGAAATTTTTCTTGAAAAAAGCGGCAGGAGTGACCCTGAAGATTTTTAAACACAATTTTTGAACTAATAAAAGGTTGTTCATACATGAAAATTTTAAATATTTGTTTACCAGTAGGGCTTTTATAGTTTTTAGGATCATTAATTTTTCTATTTCTAATTTAACATGACGAAGAGGAAACTCACCATGGTGAAGTAAGTAACCCATATTTGAATGCTACGTTTAAAATCCTTTTCTAATCAGACAACTAAACTATTGTTAACACCAGTGTTGGAACTTGTATTATTTAGAGCAATTGCTTTTAAGTATTCAATAGTATAATATTTAGAAGGAGCATTTCGTTTTGCAGAAGCCATACTGTTTACTGTACCATTTTCTACTTCAACATGTGTCAGATATTTTCTAGAAAGAAGTCTATTTTAACAAGTAAAATTAATGTGATGTTCATCTTGAGTTGTTCTATGCAATTTCATTGCATAGACTAACAAATTTTTATCATTCTTGCCATCCACACCAATTAATTTTAACTGTGAAACCTATGGACAATGCTTAGTTTCAATTGAAATAACCACATTTTAACAAAACACCTTATATTCTGTTATTATCTGAGATTACTACTCCATTGTCAATTAAAGTAGCTGTTGCTATTGCAGCTGTAGCAGCATCATTAATCTTGAATCTTATTGAAGCCTTAGCTAAATTAGTAATCATCATCATTATCATTATCATCATAATCATCATCAATGTCATTATCATCATCATCATCATCATCATCATCATCATCATCATCATCATCATCATCATCAGCTTCATCATCATCATTGTTTTAGCTACTTTGTTTCTGTGCTTGCACAAATTACTCATAATGCCATTTCTCTAACATACACAGTCTTAAACATCTTCTTTCTTTAAATGAATCTTTTTCAAATCATCTGAAACACATTCCAAGTTTTTCTGCTTCTACCTCTAGCTTTTTTTTCTGAAACTTCCAACTCTCTAAATGTTGATAACAAGTCATCTGCTTCTTTACATTTTACATGCCCAAACCACCTAAACCTTCCCTGATGCACCCAATTAGATATACTCACAACACCTAATCTTTTTCCTAAATCATCAATGCTTTTATTTTCTTTTAAAGATACAGCACATATCCATCTAAGCATCATTTTTTTTTTTCTTTCCAAAAGCTGGACATCATCAACCTTCATACATCATAACACTCCGGACATATGTGCTGTGATAACTTTCTTTTTATAGTTAATGAATCTTGCTGTTAAAAGTATAAATAATTCTCGGAACATGGTACATGGCCCAAAAACACCTTACTCTTGCCCTAGATGCTTCTTCTGCTCGAACAACTGATCCAATTGTATCTCCAAGAGAACAAAATTTACTAATATATTCTATCTTTTCTCCACTTTTTATTTTAATCTCTTTTTTAACTTTTTCTCTATACTCACCAAAAGTACATTTTCTACACTCAAAACCAACAATCTTTAGAGAACATCTTATTAATATCTACATCTCTTATGAAACCATTACATAAAAACTGTACAAACTATAGAGTTAGCTCTAGCTCTCTTCCTATACACTCCACATGGCCAGTTCCCAGTATTTTCTGCTTGCTCATTCTTGACTTCACAATGCATAACTTTTGTCTTATTTATATTTATCTTAAGCCCTTTTGCTTCAATTACAGATTTCGAAGTTGTTTGATAATACTTGTATTACATTTTAAATATGAAATTTATAAGATATACAGAAAACGACTTAGAGCCTTCACTTAAGACATCTAGACTCTTAGGCTTAAGGCCTTAGACGCTAAGGGGTTCCACTTGTCATGATTCGCTACTGATTGCATAAATAACATAATTGAATGTAATTAATGTTATATATCCAATTAAAAATTTGAGTATGTAATTTAATACAAAACAGCTGTACAGTAAAAATAAAATTTTATCAAGATAACTAGTAAGCTAATTCATTTTTAAATCCATATTTCATACCAATCCAAATAAAAACTAATTAATTTACATATTAACTTTGTAAATAGTTTTTTATTAATCGCAGAGCATTGTAGTTTTTTGGTAAATGGCTTTATTTATAACTGTTTACCGTCTGAAAAGTGTAGTTTTGCTTTCAAATGTTAATTTACACTTAAATTTGCCTGTTTTTCTTTTATGTTTACCAAAAAGATTACATTTATTATGTTTTTTTTTTTTTGTGGCAAATAATTTCTTTATATAGAATACATAAATATATATATATTTATTCTTTATATAGAATACATAATATATATATATATATATATATATATATATATATATATATATATATATATCAGCCCTCATAATTAGAAAAAATGAGGTCGGCAATTGATTGCTAGTCCACCGACCAGAGATATATATATATATATCTGGTCAATCTCAAAGTTCATTTTCATGGCGACACTTTGACGTAAAATCATTTTCGTTTATTAAGGAAATTTAATTGTTATGTAATAATGTAGTATATACCAGCCAAGTATAAGTTGCAAAATTTACAACTAGGTTTGTGCTTGATCAAGAATATTCCATGTTAAAATAGGCTCTCTTATTTTTACATTCCCATAAATTTCAAAAGTTCAGTGGATTTGGCCTTACTTTTATAAAGAAAATAGTTTTTATGCTTGTACCACCTTTAAAAGTTTTTTTAGCAAGCCCAATGTAATAATAACTTTTTTCTTGTTGCGTTTTTATATTGCAAATATAAATAAGGCATTTTCCATTGAGAGGACATGAGGTGGTTTGTTGGCGATTACATAATTGATTAGTATATTAATGAGTATTAGATAGTATATTTTTATAATGAGAAGTGATAATATTCTTGATATTTCAAAGACAGCTACAACTAACTTTTTAGTTGTTCCTGTTAAAAAGTTTGTGAAATTTGTGACCTTTAAGGAAGCATTCATACCCTAAAATGTTTTTGCTACATTTGTTCTGACGTTGAGTGATTAAGGAGGGTTAAACTAAATAATGTTTGGTATTTGAGATCTTGCATTATTTTTGGGATATTTATTTTTGTCACTTTATAATGATTTTAAATAGTAAGTTTAACACTTTTTATACAAATTCTTATAAAAGTATATAAAGTATATGTGTTTTTAAATTACTATGATCCAAAATATAATAAAATATTATTATTAAACTTTCTTGTGTATTTTTGTTGTTGTTGTTGTTGTTTTTGTTGTTATTTGTCTCTTCTTTTTTTGTAATTTTAATTTAATTTTTGTTGGTTATTTTTCGGATTTGTACAGACATCTCTCTCCCGAAATTGGGTAAAATTTATGATTTTAGGACAATTTCCTTGAGTTTTTTTTACCATAAATTAGAGTAAATTTTTTTTGACATTTTAAGACAATTGAAATTTAGGGATGTTTTTTCTTAATCTAGATTTAGGAAATAAAACATCTATAAATCTGTAACAAACAAATCGTAAATTATAATAATTTTATTATAATTTATTTTATTATAATTTTAATAATACTTTTTATTATTACAATTAAGAAATTTGCAATGTAACAAGAGAATCAAAATATGTCTGCCAGAGAATAAATTCAATAATTTACAATTAGAAGTGTGTAATCTAAAGATTCAATAATAGTGAAAATTTGAATGTTTGAATGAATGAAAATTAGACAATTGCTAGAGAGGTTAGAGCTGAGAGTTTTAAAATAAATAAAAAAACCATAGATATCATTTTCCAGAAGATAAAGAAAAACTTTTAGTTAAGTAATTCTCCAAAAAATTGTATAATATTAAAGAGAATTTTAAAAAACATTTGTTGAAAAGAGTCAGAAATTTTGCTCTAGAAGAGTTCTAATGAAAAATAACAATAAAAACTGGAGTGATTTGGTTGACTAACATTTAAAAATAACAATAAAAACTGGAGTGATTAGGTTGACTAACATTTAAAACTAACAATAAAAACTGGAGTGATTAGGTTGACTAACATTTATTATTCAAACTTCTTTGCAATGACAGAACCGTGATTTTAATTATTAGTGAATCATTAATATTTATCAGAATTAGTGGATGAGTTTTTCACAAATACCTCTGGTAAGTTTTTTGCAAATACTTTTGGAATGTTATTTATTTGGAATGTTAGACATGCCTTTGTTAATGACACTGTTAAAAAAATTTCATAAGTCTTTAGAACCTAAATTTTGAGATAAAATTCCAGATTACGTAATCTGAGAATTGTAGACCTTAGTGTTAGGCAATAGCATTAGCTGAGTTTCTTAGTGACAGCAAATAGCTTGTGTCAGTTTCTTGCATTGATAAAAAATATTTCTTCTTAAGAGAGTTGTTCTTGCAAAAAAAACTGTAAAAATAATTACAATTAGAAATAGTAGCTGCACAAGAAAAAGAAAACCATATTAACCAATTGGGTAGCCAAAGAGTGAATTAATAAAGTAGAAAGATTAGCAAACAATGAAACACATTTAACATTTTAAATTATACTTTAAAGTAGAAAGATTTGCAAACAAGTAAAATAAATTTTATTCTTATATTTATTTTTTACTTTTTGCTGTGCTATGTTTGGGAAAAATTACAAAAAAAAAACCTAAGAAGATAACCAAAGAATTGCAAATATTAACAAATTTTCTTATAGCAGATTGATATTGACAGGCAAGAATTCATTTAAAGATGTCATACCTGGAGTTTCATTAAGCACACTTTTTTTAAGCGATTTTATATCAGTTTCTATATATTTATTTAAACATTTCTGCTAATTGATTTAAGCATATAACTCATTGCAATGGTTTTCTTCTATAAAAAAATAATATATAAAAACTCACCATAGTATTAATTGAATCCATGCTTGGTGTGCACTGCATTCTATAAGACAAACTGCTCTGTGATGATGCTACTGATGCTCGTGACTAAACAATCGTCATCAAAAAAGTTTTAATAAGGAAGATAAAAAAAGATTTACATTGATCAATATCATTTTACAGTATTATTTATTTTATTGTATTTACAGTAGTTCTAAAAAACTTTGGTAATTTTTTATTGTTTTTTTATGAGTGGTTTTTATCATAGAAGAATTTCTTTAAAACAATTTAAAAATCATATACCAGATCAGATATACCAGAATCTGATTGAATTGTAATGGAGCTATGTTGAGAAACAGAATCTTCATCATCGCTTGGAGTATTAGAGGTTCTTCGCTCAGCTAAATGCAGAAAATCAAAACGTGACTTCATATGACTAATCCGTGCTGGCATAGGTCTTTGAGCTTTCCTGTTAATTACTGACGTAGGGAAATGTTCTTGTGCTTGTTTTATAAGAATGATATACTTTTCTCCCTAAATATAAATATATGAAAAAAATAATAATAATAACTATATGTACAAAGAAAAAATAAACAAACAAAAAAACAGCTGCCTAATAAAAATTTGCATCAAAAATCAGCTGCTTAATAAAAATTTGCGAAAGAAAAAAAATAATAACTATATGTACAAAGAAAAAACAAACAAAAAAAAAAAACAGCTGCTTAATAAAAATTTGCATCCATTTATTTTGCAAACATTTATTCAATAAATGTTTAACAAACAAAATTGCATATCAAGTGACTGTAACCTCTTAATGAAAAGCCTTACATTGCACTTGGTTTAAAATAAACAAAAAGTGGTATTAATTCCAGATTTGCGAAAATCTGTTACAAAAATGCAAGACTGTAGCAAATTAATTATTTTTCGATATTCTAAAAGGTTTTTTTTTTAAAACCACCTGGCGCTTCTCCACAGGTGCTCAAAGTTGTCATTTTTTCAAAGAAAATTATAAAAAGTGAAAAAGCGATAATTTTTATTTTATTTCTAAAACCACACCTGTGAACTTCCATATATTATATATTAACCGGAAGAATATTAAAAAGGCTTTCAGAGTTTAATGTAAAATATTTTATATAATTATATTTCTTGCAGTAAAAATGCAAAGGAAGATAATTTTTTAGACTAGAAAATGATAGCATACTTGAATGCAACTTTTATTAAATTCTGTATGTTTCTGTAAGAATCACCTCTCTAGATTCTGATACCTAAATTACTTTAATCTTTTCTAACAAACGTTGTAACAAAAGTGTGTTTACTACTTCTCTTTAATTTCAAGTCAAGCATTCTACTGCACATTTTTTAAGTCAAGCATTCTACTGCACATTTTTTACCATTTTGAGCAGTTGCTTTATTAAACATTAATCATTTTTTTCATATTTTTTACAAAGACATCTCTCTTAAGAACAAATGTCTTTTTATTATTGCAAAAAGCCAATGTAAAAAAATCCTGTCTGATGTTAAGCTCTGTTATTCTCAGTTAACTAAATTTTGTCTAACTGCAGTAGTAAAGTTATTCTTGAAGGCCTACCCTCTTCTCTATTTTAAGTAACTTTAAGGGTACCACAAGATTCTATCTTTGATCCTGTAGTGTTTCTTATCTTCAATAAGGATTTTCATGAAATTTAAAGTGGGTGTATTAGCTGACAACTCAACTTTATACTCTTGACAGAAAAATCCTCACTTTTTAATTGCTTAGAGCAAGCAGCCAATTTTAAATCTAATCTCTCTTCTATAACAGCCTAAGACTTGCAGTGGCTTAGGATTAAATTTGATTTTTGATTAGACAATAAAACTCATTTATTTACTGCAAAAAAATATTGCAATTTTGTTGGCATTCTTATATTGACGAATAACAACCCTTTTACTGTCAGACTTTTTACACTCAGACAAATTCTAAAAACACATTGTAAATGTAATTAGACCTGTTTTATCTGCCAAGCTTGGGCCATTCTATCATTGTTGTAATTTTGCAATTCTTAAAAATTATGGATTAAAACTTATTTATAAACATTTTTGTAAATATGTGTTTATTTTATTTGGTCGCAAATTTTTAAAAAGAAATTTATATACTTATTAACTAAATATATTTTTAATATTCTTATCTTAAAAACATCATTTTAACAGTCAATCTTAAGAGAATGTTAATATTTTTAGAGCTGGTTAATATTTTTCTGACCTTTTCAAATTCTTTTTGTTTAAGCGTTTACTCTCAGGTGCTTAATACGAAGGTGAGGTAAATAGTTAACTTTTGGAAAATATACCCACCCTGAGGGTATTAAAATTCATTAAATTCATTTGTTTAATAAATCTAATTTATTGCCAAAGAAAGCTATCTACCGGTAAAAATATAGACTTGGAGCAACCAACATGTCAAATTTAAACTAACTGATCAAAATGAAAACTTCCATTGTAATTAGCTCTTAAAAATTCAAACACTTAACAAGAGTTCAAAAAGTTATTGAGAGTTTGTATTAAAAACTTGTATTGTTGTTGTCATACATTTTTGAGTTGTTTGTACGAATTTAGATCACAGAATCCTTTGTTTTAATTTATTAAATATATGCGCGACAAAAGCAAAACGGTACCCTATTATTTTGTTAATATTGAAAATGTTATTGATGAATTTAATAGATATTAAATTTCCTCAATACTAGTGTAATGATAGGATGTTTTTATGTTGCTGTTAATAGTTCTTATATAATAAAACAACTTGATGTTAACATTTTAGAAATATTAATTAAAATCATCATTTTAAAAGGCAATAAACTCCTTTTTTATTGATGTTATGATATGGCAGGATGTTTTCTTTTTTTTTACTGTTAGATTTTAGTTAATTAAACAACTTACTGTTAACATTTTAGCATTGAAAAATATCAACTTTTTCAATTTAAAAAGTTTCAAATTATACAATGTAAAATTCAGTCTAATTGATTATCTTAAAAGGATTACTGTTATATTGTATACTTGCAAATCAAAACTTGCATAAACATATGAACTTTCTTAAAATCTTTTTAAAAAGATCATTGAATGATTTATGAACAAATGATCAAAAAGCGAATGAAACAAATATAAACCAAAAATAAGTTATTTTTACCAAGTTAAAACTATGAAAACAAGTGGGGCGTGGCCCCTGGTGGCCCTATGGGCCCTCTGGTAGTCTGTCGTGGAAACAATTTTAACAGACATTCACTAAAACTACACAAATGCTGAAATTTTTAGAGCTCCAATTATTCTTGAAGGTAGTGAACAATCTTTTGCAAGAAGCCGCTACAAAAATGTAGGGCACATTACCCATTATCCATATATGGTAATCCAAATATTTGCAGATCAAAATCCTTATGTTTTCTGAAAGATCAATGAATAGAATGATGTGTAAAATATTTTTTTTGATATCATTAAGGTTACATGAGTTTCTTGAGCATAAAAATTAGGTATATAAAAAATTGCCTAAATTTATTTTAATTGATCAATACAGGTACATAAGAATAATTTTTTATATTTCTGATCATTTTCTTGGATTTGTTCCCCCTAAAAATAGCCAGGTACAAACTTTTAAGCACAAAGATCAAATATTTTAAAAGTTGTGTGATTTGAAACCTCTAAATAAACGCTGAGATTCTAAAGGGACAAGAGGGGTTTTGCCAATCTCTACTAAAAGTAAAATTATCATTTATCTGGATCTTCTTGGAGCTAGAGGCTAAAATTTTCAAGGAATTCTTTATTTACTAAGTACTCTTAACTGTATAAAAATCGGCAAAACCTGAGATATATGGCGACATTTTAAAATTTCTGGGTCATTAGACACGGTATTACCCATATGTCAATTAAACACTTTTACGGCATGAGGTCCAGACAACAATCCTGTCATAGTCTTACAAAATTGTTCTCCAGAACTCTAACTCCAGAATAATAACTTACTGTTTTACAACCAATTTACCTTTTTGATCCTCTCGCTTTATGGCTAACTTGCTAACTGCTGTGACTAGAAGATTTTATAAATAAGATGGAGGTGGCAAGGCTAGGGCTATTGCTCTTGGTAAATCTAAAACTTCCCACAAAGTTTGGTATGCTAGTCTTTTCTATAAATGTGCTTCTTATGGTGTATCTGGGAAAGTTTTTGAGATTGTCAAATCATTTCTTTCTAACCACTTTATTAAAGTTACCCTTAAAGACAAACATTATTCTTCATTTCCAGCGAATTCTGGGGTACCAAGATCAAGGTTTCTATCCTTAATCCTATTTTTTTTGCTAATATACATTAGTGATCTTCCTGTCAACCTTACATTTAAAGTGACTTATTTGCTGATGACTGAACCTTATATTCCTGTCTTGATAAAAAGTCTTATTGTTTTGATCACTTAGAACAGGCAGCCAATTTTGAATGTAATCTCATTTCTCTCGCCATTATCTTACTCCTGATTCTATTCTCTACCTCTACAAATCTCTTATTCGCCCCTGTATGAAATACTGTTTTCATATTTAGGCTGGTTCTTTAAATGATGTCCTTTCTCTTCTAGACAAGATCTAGAAATGCATTGTAAACGTATCTGGACTCCCCATATCTACTAAACTTGAGCCTCTCTAGTTGTTGTAAAGTTGCATCTTTTTGTCTATTCTAAAAATAGCAGGGCTCAAATTACTGCTAAGCAACGCCAGTGATGAGGGGGGGGGAGCCAAAAAGTCTTTTTTTTGTGATTAATTTGATTTTTTTTTACATTAATTTGAGCAATGAATACTATCATGGTAACTGCTCATAGGATATCAACTTAACAAACTTTAGTTCAATCAAGCAAAACTCATTTTTGCTTGACTAACCGTTTAGAAAAGTCTTATCCTTTTACTATATCTGTTCCTGCATGCTCTAAAAACTTTTTTTCTAGTTTAATTTCCGGCATTTCAACCCTTTGAAACTTTCTCCCACCATACTTTCCTGACTCTTACAACCAACAACTTTTCAAGTCTTCTGTAAACCATTACCTTACTCTTTAACTCTATTGTTTTCTAGTAACTGCCAACTTAATAGTGGCTGCTTGCAGTCTTGTTGGGAGCAAATCAGAATAAAAAATAAAAAAAAAAAGAAAAAGTGATGAAGAAAGTTGGAGTAAAAATGTAAATAAAAGGATAAAAAAAGATAGTAAAAAAAATTATTTTATAGTATAATAACTAACAATTTAATCTATTTAATCAAGTTAATAACAAACTTGTTATAAATTAATGATAATTTTATAAAATTTCTTTTTATATTAATAATCATATAATTGCATTTTTAAATATATTTAACTAGAAAACATTAATGCTGGACCTAGGGCATTAACTAACTGTAGATGTCAGTGCAGACTGAAATTAATGGATAAAAAAAAATTAAATACCAGAATAAAGCATTCTATTTATTAATTACCCTTTCACTTTAAGTAGCATATCCATGAATCTGTTTTGTTCTAACACAGCCAAAATAACATGGTCTAGAAAAATACTTGCCACTTGATCCAGACAATATTTCAACCACAATGTTGTAGTACCTGATAATTTAATTCAACCTTGTCAAAATGCATTTTGGCTTTACTAAACATTTCTGCTAGGAGGTTAAAAAACCAATAAAAGATGCTAGAGTTACACAACAGAGGATGTAAAAAATAGTGTAAAAGATTTCTTTAAAATAGAGCCACAAATAAATCTATCTGTTCCTTTAGCTAAAATTTATACAGTTTATTCCATTAATAATTTAATAGAAACAACAATCCATTCCAAAACATTGCCTTGAAAAAAAAGGGTCTTGTGGGAGAGCATCAATAAAACCAAATCTGGCTTATGAAATATTATTAAGGAAAATTATTGCCAATGAAATCTGCTAAAATTAAATGTATGGAATATCTTCCATATTTTGTAGATATTTAAGTATCTGGCAATGCTTTACAACTTTTTAACAACATTCCAGAAGATGCTACTGATGTAGATGAGAAAACTGATGAAGCATTATTTTGTAATATTTTTTTCTAAAATAAGAAAGTTTTAAACAGCCATTTACTTTTTCTTCAACAAAACAAATTTATTTTTATTCTTTTTTTTTTCAAGTATACATGTGTTAATATGATTTTTACTTTTGATTGGGTAATTAACATTAAAACTTATAATCAATTATCATTTTTTATGTTTAAAAAGAAAAAAATATATATTAAATAAATAGTGAGATTTTTATTTTTAATTCAGCATTTTTAAAGTTTTAACATTTAAGCTATAAATTATTTAATTTACAAATTAAATATCATTTAATTAACTATTATTTTAATGTCAATACCTTTTTTTTAACAAAAATATGTTTATCAATTTTTATTTTTTTTTAATAAATAATGAAGTCTATTAAATTTTCCTTTCAAATATTCCACTTTCATATATTTTTATATATTTAATAAACAATTTGGATTTATAAATTTCTTGACAAGAAAGTAATACAAATATCAATTATTAATAACTTAAAAATACAAATAATAAGTCCAAGAACTTTTTTTAATTTATTATAAGCAATCTATTGATAAATTTCAACCTTTACATACATAAATATATGTATTTCAATATACTACTTAACATATATAAACATCAATAATCTATCTAATATAGTCTGATTTCCAGATCTTATCAAAATCTTATATCTCAGAATCAAAAAAGTGTGACTTAAGCAGCTTTTAAAAGCAACTCTTTATTTATTTCAACAATTCTGACTCAACAATTTTAACCCAAACAAACTTAGTTATTTACTGCTATTTATGATTTCAATATTGCTGATACTCCTATATTTAATGGCAACACTTATGCTGAATCCCCTTTTTTATATTCCATCAGACTATCATTCATTACAGACTTCTCATTGTAACTATAAAGTTGCAAAGTTGACATCTGTTAAGGTTGCCTGTCTTTTTACTGTGCTTGTTATTATTAAACTGTTGATTCTATTTTCTACCGCTATAAATTCATCCTTGAATGAATTTTAATTCATCCTTGAATGGAATACTGTTGTCGTATGGCTGATTTTTCTGATGAGGCAACTCAATTTAATGGAATAGTGTTTTATTAAAACGCAAGTTAACAGTTAAGTATGAATATATCTTAATTTGGAGTTTTCACAGTAATATTTGTAGTATATTTATCAAGTTTAACCATTAATAAATTATTATTTAAATCCTGCAATAACATTTATTTCTTAATTGGAAGAAATACCAAACTAAATGGTGTGCATTTATATTTTGTTTATATCTTTTAGTATTTTTTGAAAATGAAAAAATTTCATCAAACATTTTATTATATTTATTGATTGAGGCAAAAAAAAAAAAGTTGGACTCAGTGCATCTTAAACTATAAATAATTAAGACTTTTATAACCTTTCAATCTTTTTTTTTATTATTTTAAATCTTTGAAGCTTTTAATTCACTTTATCTTTACTAAAATCTGAGTTTTTCTGTTATTACACCTTAATATATAAAGTTTGCAGTTTACAATTACCTAACATTTACATGATCAGTTTTCTTTAATTTACATGATAATATAACTAACTCATTAATTTTTTTTTTACATTTATAACTATAGTTAATACTAAAACACAAAAAAAATTTACATTTTCAGTTTTTGCAGCTGTAATTAACTGCAGAATTTCTTTAAATTCTTGACGAGCTCGAACTAAATAAACAAATAAAAAATAAATAATTAAATATTTTATATAAAAACAAACAAAAAAAATATTTATATATTTTAAGAATAGTAAAAATTTATATTTATATTTACTGAATACTTAAATTGTTAATGGTCATGTAAACAAACTGATTCGTAACTCTTACCTTTGGTGGATGGAGCACTTAAATGGACTCGAAATTCGTTTATAAGGTCACTCTGTTTCACTTTCCCATTATTTTTTAGAAGAAAATCTTTAACAGCTTCTACTGTTATGATATCATCAGACTCGTTTTCCTTATTTGTCATATTATAGTACGTGTATGCATATAAATTAATGTATAAAATCAAGTTAAAAACTACGATTAAAGTCTATAATATTTTAATTACGTAAATGAAATTAAAGTAGTAAATATTAACATTAAGTACTTTTATCATTTTACAGAATTACGGAACGTTATTGAACACGTGAGCTGCATGTTGTCGTGGTGTTATGGTGCGATTTCGCCATAACACTAAAAATTGTTGAAGGATCCACCAAAAATTTCCAAATTTGTTTTGGAATTTAATTTTAATTTTATAAACAAATATTTTTTGTTTGTAAGCGTACTTAGGGGGGAGGGGGTGTTAGAGGGTTAAGTTGTTTACAAATAGTACAGTAACTAATAAGTAAACAATGATAACGATAAAAACATAAAAATAATAATTTTTATTATATTTTTATTTTCAAAGTTATGTCTAAAATAATTATACAAAACTATATATAAAATAATTAAATATATATAATATATATATATATATATATTTATATTTATATATATATATATATATATATATATATATATATATATATATATATATATATATATATATATATATATATATATATATATATATATATACATATATATATATATATATATATATACATATATATATATATATATATATATATATATATACATATATATATATATATATATATATATATATATATATATATATATATATATATATATATATATATATATATATATATATATATATATAATTATTATAGTAATTAAAGTATTAAGACTTTTTTTGTATTTTTTTTAACACGATTTTATACAATAATATATATTAATGTATAAAATCAATAAAAATTACCCTATTAAAGTTTTATCTACATCCTCATTAGATGTTTTCAATTTTTAACAAATTTTTTTAGTTTATCTTTTATTTAGTCTAATTTTTATATAGTTTAATTATTTTAATAAATGCTTAACCATCATTGTTATTTAACGTTAGAATAGAGGGCTCTCCCTTTTGTATATTTTTAAAATTAAAAAAACAAAGTTTGTTAAATTCGTTAAATCAAAAGATTCAAAATCAAAATTGTCCAATTGATTGCTCAAAATACACATAATTTATTATTTATTAAGTAATATAAATTAGTATAAGACAAAATACCATATAGTAACGTGAGATTTATAAAGTTTTATATCTTCTTTTTTATTATTTAACTTTTGTTTTTTTTTAATTTATTCTTATGTTCATAATTATATAACTTTAGTATATATCCTATTATTATTGTTTATATAATTTTTAAAATTGTTTGTTTCGGTTGATTTATACTTTATTTAATTTTTAAAATTGTTTTTTTCGGTTTATTTATACTTTATTTAATTTTTAAAATTGTTAGTTTTTGTTGATTTATACTCTATTTAATAAAGTTTGAATTAACAATCAGTTGTAGTGTTTTTTGTTTTGTTTTTGTTTTTTCTTGTTTTGTTTTTAACAAGTTATAGTAGTTTTAATAATCAAATAATTAGTTAATAAACAAACAACTTTGAAAATCAAATAAATGGTAATAAAAGATTTTTTTTTTTTTAACATAAAAAACGTATAATCAATATAAACATCAACTGCAAAACATTTAAATAATTAAAAACCGAATGTAAAATTCTCTCAACTTTATAAAAAGAAATAGAACCGTATTATTCTAACGTCACGAAATATTTTTAATTATCGTGTAGTAGTTGTTGTTTATTTATATTAGGCTATACTATAATTTATCTATCCCAAAACGTCTGCATTTGAAAACTACGTTTATGACAGAAACTGTGGCGTCTTCAATGCAGTACCGTAGCAACAAAAAATAGGCCTCCCCGCAAAACCTTAATCCAGGCCCCTTTTCTGCTTACCCCGCCCTCCCTTACCTTTTCTTCAAACATTTAGTTTATTAAATTGTTAGAAATTAATAAACTAAACATTTGATCCGCGTTTTATGCAGAAATAAAATATTCCAGTTGATTGATACAGTAATGTTTGATATTGAATCGTTATCACCTGAGCTAAACAACTAACTGAGATTCATTTTCGGGAAACGGTTTTGAAACTAAAATTCTTCAAGCGATACTAAAGCGGTCGTTAGTATTATTACCTAATATAAAGTTATAAAAAATTTTAAAATAGAATTACTGCTGTATGTAAATAAGTCCAACATATAGTTTGAGAGATAAATACATTAGTAATGAAAATAGCTACACTGCCGCCTCGATGTCCGTCTTAGCAATCTTTTTTTTTAAAGTGAGTTATTGTTTTAATACAATAGCTTCATTATTGTTATTTGCTTGAAAACCTTACGTCATTATACTTGCCTTTAAACTAAATTGTATATTTATGTGTTAATATAGTTTGTTTTAATTTTTCAGATATAAATAAATAAGAAGCTCGCTACTTAAAGTATTTGTCAAGATTTTTATTAAAGCTAAAATAAAGTCTGAAAAAGAGTTTGTAGTTCTTAGCTATATAATAATAGCCAAATTTATGTTGCTATTTTTATATACATGCATATTATTTTTAAGAATGACAATTTAAAAAAAAGAAATTTGAAAATTTTGGCTTGGGTCCCTAATATCTCAAGGCCAGGGGCGTATCCAGCATTTTTTGTTCGTTGAGATAGCTAACTTTCGGACATGGAGCAAACTTCAAACATTTATATGTTTATACCTATGTCAAATAAGGATGCTTTGCAAAAAATTGCAATGATTGGAGTCTGGGAATAAGAAAGCCCTAAAATTTTAGCTACACCTGCCCCAAACGTGAGAGCAACAAGTTGATAAAATAATTTTTATACTATTTTTAACCAAGTATATATTTATCGATAAATTTTAAAACTCACATAATAATCTATTAGTGTTCAACAGTTATGGCCTTATAAAATTTGCAACCCCCTCAAATTGAGGGGTTTAAAACTTTTTATTGTCATAGTTTTTGAACGCTAAAAGATTTTGTGTGAATTTTAAAATTTGTCGATGAATATAGATTTAGTTAAGAATAGTATAAAAATTATTTTATCAACTTGTTGCTCTCACGTTTGGGGCAGGTGTAGCTAAAATTTTAGGACTTTTTTGTTCCCAGACTGTTTTTTTTTTTATTTGCCAGAATATGTACAAAGTAAATTTACATTGAATATATTACCAACAGGACTTCTAGAAGATCACAGGATCTTATCATGAAGCCCTTTACAATCTACAATCTGTATGACAAAAAGAATACAATATTCTTATATTCTTCACAGTCTATATAATAAACAAAATAAAGTATAAATTAAAATAAATAAAAAAAAACAACTTAAATACTAAAAATAGATATAAATATTTTGTGTTGAAAAGATAATTTCTTTTACTTTCCGTTTAAAAAAAGAATAAGACCATTTAAAAGAAAAATCGAAATTAGGAAAAATTATTTTATTCCAAAGAGAAGGACCACGATAAGAAATACAAAACTGGTCAAATTTAGTTTGGCAAAATGGCTCTCCGATACTTTTACTGGCATGAAGATTATATTTGTTTTTGGGTTTCAAATTATAAAGATTTATAAATACATTAGGTGATATATTTTCTTTACATTTAAACATAAAACATAAAATATTCAAAACATTTAGTTCGTAAATATTCAAAACTTTCATTTCTATAAGAAGTGGTGTTGAGCTTGAAAAGCGATTTGCATAATTAATTGTGCGAGCTGCGTGTTTCTGATGTCGATAGAGACGTCAATAATGTTACTTTTTTAAACACGTTTAGTTATTTAAAAAAATGAAAATGTCAGTTCGCATATATTCCAGTTTTGTAAATGGTTTGCACTTATGCCTGTAAATGATTTGTATTTATGCCAAAGTTTGAAAATTTTTTCGTTATAATGCATTTAACGTTAATCGTAAACTCAAAATAAAATTCCATTAATTTCTATTATATACTTAAACTTATAGAAAGAAATAAGCTATAAACAAGTATATAAATGGTAAGTGTGGAGCAGACCACAAATTTTATCATGTTCCGGACAGCTAGTTAATAATAATAATTGAAACGATAAGATTATTTATAAAATTAAATTAGTTTAATAAAGATTAAAGTATTAACATTTGTTATTTTTTACAACATTGATGAAAGATTTTTGAACATAAAACAACCAAAACATCAGACCAGCAGAGATGCGTTTTTTTATATCAGATTAGCAGAGATTTATGTTTTTAATATCAGATCAGCAGAGATACATGTTTTTAATATCAGATCAGCAGAGATGCATGTTTTTCATCTGATATATAATTCATCATAAAGTTTTTATTTTGTAAATGGAATTCCATTTACAAAATAAAAAATATAAAGGTTTTACTTGTCAAAAAAATAAAAGAAATATAAAGGCTTTACTTGTCAAAAAGTATCTGCAGATTTAGCAAATTGTTTTGTGAATTTGTTTTAATACCATGTTATTTTATCTGATCTAAGTACAGATCAACGTAAACTTTACGGGTACTGTGTTGAAAGACTTTATTTCCCCAAAATATACAATGAAAAAACCTGGTCATACTTACTATGATAACCAACTTTTAGTTTTACAAAGTATGATAATTCATGTGAGAGCAAAGCTGTGCAATTTCAAAGTATATTGTCTAAGATTACTTACTTCATGTGATTTGCACAAAAATGTCTGATTTTTATAAAGATTCTCCTAGCTTTCTTCTATGTAAGTAATCAATTTTTTGATTTTGATAAGGTTTCAATAATGGTAACGATTATTTCATTACATAATTGTCTAACTATTTTTGTTTAGTAAACTAAATTTTGTGTTTCTTGCTAAACTTTTATTTAATTAATTTAAAATGATGTCTAACAATAAATAAAATTAAAAACCCAGTCCTTCGAATAACAATACTGGTTTATTCCTACCCCCTAACACGGGTAGGAGTGAACCATGAGGCATTCACGAAATACTTTTAAAGTTAATAAAAACCTAGAGATATTTATTTTATTTCGATTAGAAACTTAATACACCAAGCTATCTTGGGCTCTTTTTCCTATATATTTTTTTTACTTTTGGTTTTTTCGCATTAAAAAAAAAGGGACTCGTACCCATCCTCCCCTAATCATTAACGAATGACAAGATTTTGAAATGGGAATGTAAAATAAAAAACTAATTTTAAAAGATTTTATTTTTCAAACAATTATTTTATGAAAACATTTTTGAAAACTATTTATAAGCGTCAAGTAGATTAAAATTTTGCAGATTTGTGCCACTTGTGAACAAGTCGAGGTTTATCCACAAGTTCAGTGCCGTATAACGAAACGAAATATAAAGTTATTAAGCAGGCAACTCCCCAAAATAATATGTAAGTAAGTTGTAAGCGAAAGTCCGCTAAAAAAAATATATATATGTAAGTAAGTTGCAAGCGGAAGTCCGCTAAAAATAAAAATAATATGTAAGTAAGTTGTAAGCGAAAGTCCGCTAAAAAAAAAAAAAAATACTCACTTGCAGGTAAAAGCAGGCTGATAATCAGCATCGAGAAACCAATCAAAAAAATTGCAGGTAGCTGAAATAAAAAACAAAAACAAATAAAAAAAATATATAGTTTTAGATCTATATACTTATAAAGAAATATATCTAAAACTTACGGCTAGGTATTTATAACCAGTCTGAATTTTGAGAGGCGAAACTTTGTCATTTGTAGATATATTATAATTTCCAAGAATTAGGTCAATCCCATCCTGAAAAAAAACACCCAATGTTATATAATATTGAAATCTTTATAATTTTAAAAAAAAATTCATATTTTAAATTAATTTTGTTTAAAAATGTACCTGTCTAAAACCATCCGCAAAATTATTTTTATAATATCGAATTAGAGAGTTTACACCATCTTGTAAGACACCAAAAGACGAACGTTTTCCGGTTCTATAAAATTTAATACTTTTTTAAAGTTAATTTTAAATCAATAAAATCGGTAAATAATGTAAAGATAAAATCAACAAAATACGGAAACTTTTATTTCTTAAAAAACTAATATTTGTTCTTAAAAAAATAATTATTTAAAAAAAAAATTATTGAACTAATAATTTTTAATACTTACCCTGACTAATTTAATACTCTTCCGATTAATTTTAAAAATTAGTTTATGGTTATTATAGAAAAGTTGTCATGTTTTAAAGAAATTATATATACTTTTAGATACTTTTACTGTTAAATTGCATTGGAGGCAGAAATTGACGTAGGATGTCACAATAAACAGACAGACATCCAACAGAGCTGCTTTATCTTAGTTTAAAATTCTGAATTGGGAGCTTAGTAATGATATTTTTAACTAATAAATGGCTCACGATAGTCATCTTTAGCTATTTCTTTATTTCAAATCCATAGAATTCTAGCAGTTTATCAATTTCTGAAACATTTAAACAAGATTTTTTTGGCATTGACATGTTTTCTGTTTTCTTAGAACTTTTTAAACAACGGAATGTCTGGGCTTGCAGTTACTTGGCAGATTTTCGCTTCCAACACACTTTTTAATACTAGTTCATAGACATGATAACGGCAAGCAAAAATAAGCATATCTTTATCTATTTTTTGTTTGAAAAGCATACATGCACCATTAATACGGTCTGTATTTGAATCAATAGTATGAAAATAGAGAATCTGCACTCTGTCCTCAAAATTCAAGTTGATATTGGCATTCCCAACAGCCTGTGCCGGCTTGCTTCCTGATGAGCTATCCGATTTTGGTAAATTGGTAAGTTGTTCATTATCATCTTCTTTAGATTTATGTGAATCTAGAGCCAGCATCAGTGTCATCCCAGTAGACAGTTACTGTATCTGGGATATTGTTTTGAAAATTAACTTTTATAGCTTTAGCCCACTCTCTTCGCATTTCTGTATGAATTCTATGGGTTGAGGACTTGATTATAGAAAAGTTATCTGTGTTATGCCCTGTGCATCAATAGTGCCCTAGCGCATCAATAAAAAATACAGAATCTCTCACACTTAACTGACACCTATCTAACGCAGCAACAACCTTCGAAATTTTTGAAATTTTTCAACATACAAGTTTCATACATTATTTCAGTATCAGAAAATGAGTTTTTTTGTGGTGGTTCATAAGATGATGTTGATGAAGCTAACAAATAATATTATTTAGCATGTCGCTTTTCCTCCTCAATGTATCTAAGGAGTGCCTTTTCTTTTTTTTTCTGTAAGTTTTTTTGTCCACTGCGGCTAAGAGAACAGGCCAACCTGATTCTCTTTGGCACTCAAAGAAGATCCTATCTTCATTTAATTTAATTATCTGAATGTTAAACAAATTTTCTATGTTGGAAAGATACTCTTGTTGTTGTTTTTTCGCATTTTTTTTTTGTAAATCTCTCCAAATTTAGTATAATGAAACTAGCTTCTTAACACAGTTAAGTAACAATTTAATTGGTATATGTGCCTTTTCCCAGTAAATAATACACTCACAAATAGTAAGATTTGCGATTTCATTGACTCTTTAATTCAGTTTATGAATATTATAGAACAAAATTCCCAGTACTTAGGAATTTTGTTCTATAATATTCATAAATGCATCTTCACTACCAACGATGCTGCAAGAAACCACTGTAAGAATTAGAAGTTACTGAAAGAGAAAATATTAGTTAAAGATTGACAGACAGCTTAAAAGATTGCAAGCTATATGAATCAGGAAAGCAAGATGAAGGAAGTGAATTTCTAAGAACTGATGTTCGAGGAAAAAAAACTAAAAAAATAAGAGTTTTTGAAGCACTTAGGAACCGTCACAGAAAAAGGATGAGATTTAATTGAATGAGGAGGACCACGAGAATGAATTTTAGTATATGGCACAAGAGATGCTAGCTCTTTAGACTAATGCCCATTATAGTATTTGTAGAAAAGAGAAAGAGAAGCAACATTAGGATGGTATGATAATGGTTGGAGGTTGACTGCAAGAGCAGGTCCAACTATGTTTACAATGCGCTTTTGCACCTTGTCTAAAAGAGAAAGGGCATTATTAGAAGATCCTATCCAGATATGCCAACAGTTCTATACAAGGACGGATTTAGGATTTATAGAGATAAAGAATAGAATCCAGAGTAAGAAAGTGTCAAGCTGGATAAAGAGATGCAACCTTAGCAGATGCTAATTTGACAATGGATTTGATATACGTTTTCCAAGTAAAATCGGGATTAAGAGTTAATCCTGGAAGATGAAGGGTAGATGACTCATTGAGCACATTACCATTCATAAATATAGGATGATCTAAATTATTGTGATAACAATTTTTTGAAAAAAATTGAGTTTTATCTGAATTAAAGTTCACCAGCCACTGTAAGCCCCATGCAATAACAGAAGTGAGATCCTTTTCAAGCTCAGATGCTCCCTCCAAACAAGAGTGTTGGCTTCTTATCATGACAAGAATAAATGGTAATGTCATTAGCGAATAATAAATGTGAGAATATCTGGAAGATCATTCATAAAAATTAAAAAGAGTATAGAGCCAAGGATTGAACCTTGAGGAACCCCTGAGGTTATAAGATATGAAGAATTGATGATCAGAAAGTAAGTTATTAGATTTAAGATGAAAAACTAAGTGTTTATTAACTAAAGATTCAAAAACCTTGCTTATGATAGGAAGAAGACTAATGGGACGGTAGTTAGATAAATCAGAATATTTTCGAGAATTTTTGAAAATAGGGATAACAGCATGCTGGAAAACAAGACTCTGATAAGCACTTGTTAAATAGTTTGATCATTAAAGATGATCATTAAAGTCACCTACAACGACAATATTGGCTGATGGATAAAGAGAGAGGGTTTGATCAATTTGATCATAAATAGCATCAAAAAGAGTGCAGCCTTGAGATGAAGGATACTCACTAAGAGCAAGTAGGTCTGATGAACTTTGCAAGAGATAAGGGTATTTTAAGTTGAAGTTGGCTTCTCTTAGCCTTTGCATTAAAAAGCATATCCTAAAAGGCAGCAGGGCATGAAGCAGGTTATACTGGGTTACATGTTACCTGTAGCATAACCTTACCTAACAAGGAATAGAAAAAAAAGCAAATCTATAGCCTAAAACCATTTAACCTTGCTATGTGTATTTTATAACAACCTTATAGTTGTTATAAATTACTTATTGATCGTATTTACATAGTTTAATACTAGTTCATAGACATGATAACGGTCATTGTTTTTACTAATCGAGGTCAATGTTTTTACTTGATGATTATGTTGATTGATTAACTGATGAAAAATTGATTAACTGATTGATTAGTTGAGTACCTCGCTTAACTTGTTTCTTCGCAGCAGCAGCCTTGTTCTTCAAGGTTCGTGTTTTGAAGTTAAAGAGTTGAGAGAGGGTTGTAACCACAATTAAAGTAGCCTCCTTGATATTAACGGCCTTCTCAGCCTTGAGGAAGTGAGTTAACATTTTTAAAAAAAATTTGTTTTGTGCTTTATGACTTAGTAATAAATTGTGTGTTATAACTAAATATAATCTAAAATGTAGTCTCTTTTTACATGTGCAATAATGAAAAAAAATTCAGACCTGAGTGTTGTGATGAACAAGAGGATTACTATCCAAGACTTAAAGCTCCTCCTAATTTTACCTGCAATTAAATTGAGGGTTTTACATCAGACTATTCTTTTTTCAAGGTGGTTTCCTAATGTGCATTCCTAGTAGAAAAAAACCTTGTCTATCCCCTCCCCATAAAATCAGTTTAAAGAACACCCTAAATAAAATCCTAAATAAAATATTATTACAAACTTTTTATTTTTAAATCAATATGATAGTGATTTTATGATTTGACAAAAGTTATGTATTTTTAACATTTTTTGTATATTTTATTTTTTGTTTTTAAACATGGACAATGTTTAAACAGGGCTCGATGATAAGACTGTCAATGTTCGATGATAAGACTGTCAATCTTCTTCTTGCTCCAGCCAATTTTTATAAATGTAATTTATAAAAATTTCTTTATTGTAAATATATGAAAAGGCAAAAAAGAGAAAAAAAAAAAGATATAGCCTCATATAATATATAATAAATAACACACCTTACCACATCATATGACATAAAAAATACTTATCAAAAACTATAAATTAAGAACATTTATAAATACAACACTATTTGTGTAATATTCATTCAATGGCATACCTTGTGATGTTTGTTTTTAATATTTAATTAATCAATAAAATAGAAATAATATTTAATTAATTTAATTAATAACACAGTTTAAATTTGAAAAAAAAATTTAATATAGTATTTTGAAAACATATTATACAATATTTGAAAACATTAAATTGATTTTCAAAGCTTTGTAAGTCTTTTTAGTATTGTATATATTGTGACTTTTAAAGCTTTGTACTTCTTACTTACCTAAAAACTAATAAATTAAATAAAGAAAGTGTTGAAAAAATACAAAACCTAGTAAAATCTGTCTTCAAAGCTCCTGTACCAGTGTACTGATGTGCTATCATATCAGCATTGTCTGCCCACACATTTTTAAATGTAAACTCAAAATCTGAATAATCTGTAATGTGGTTTTCAACTCCAAGAACTCCCATAGCTTGTAATTGTTTTTCAAGAACATATTTTGCAATCATGCTTTGCACAACATTGGTGCGATCTAAACAGTCTATACAGTTAGTCCGAAATACGCCACTTTGTTGTTCAACAATATTGCGATCATGTTGAACTCTAAAGTATGACATAGCAAAAATTGAATTTTTTAGCTGATCTAATAAAAGATCAAGTCGATTCCAACGCATTTTGCTGCATTCTTTGTGGAAGTCAAATGCAACATACCTAAATAAGAGATCGTTTAATTTTTCTTTCTAATAATCTATTAAATTATTATGTTTTTATATCATTATTATTTGTGTTTTATTATTATTATTTGTTTATTACCATTATTAACATGTTTTGCTATCATATAGTGTTATATCATTATCATTTATTATTTTTTATAACCATTATTTATCACGTTTTGAAAAAATAATATACTTCAGTTGTATCTCATTGTAACCACTATGGAGAGCTATTTCTTTAAATTTGTCACCAATAACTTTTTCTGATCCTTTCTGGTCTATCTAAAACAACAAGCCTGAAGATCTATACAAAAACTAAACAAACCATAAGAATTCCAAAAAGAAAAATTCCTTTTTTTGAGTTATAAAGTAAAAATATTACTTACTAAATTAATAAGTATTTGTTTCCCATAATAAGCAAGTTGATTATCGATATGGCGCTTAAATCCTTCTATCTATAGTATTTAAATAGTTTATGAAATATAAACACTGAACAAAATAAAAAAAAACAATGGACATTAATAAATAAATAACTTATGTTTTTCAACATTAAAAAAAGCCAATAAAATTTAAGTCACTAAAGTTATTTTTAAATCCCAAAAGGTAGATTGATCAAATTCCAAAAATGGGTATGATCACATGTGATCATACCCATGGTTTAAAAACAAATCTAGGGTTTAAATAAAGAATTGTTTTAAATATAAAAAAAAGTTTTTAAGGATTCTTTTAAAAAAAAAAACAATTTAAAATACTATCCACAATTCAAAGATTTTTGATGATTAAGATGACTATAAAAAAGTAGAGTAAAAAACTTTAGATAATTTTCTTGAACAATTTTAAATATATTAATGACATCTCAAACTATGAATTTATAACCAAAGTAGCTTGCTCAAACTTTTTGTTGATTGAAAAGCAACAACAATTTTAACCAGTTGCTCTTTAATTATTTTTTGAATTCACAAAAGCAAAAATAATTCATCAAGACAAAGTAATTAATAACTTACATTATTGCAAGAAGGTGTTAGCATTGGTTTAGGTTTATATTTAATTGTGGGATATTGTGACCAATACAATGGTATAGAACCACGAGTCTAGACATAAATCAAAACAAGTGCAAACAACCCACACATAAAAAAAATGTTTAAACAATGGTAAAATATATACATTAGTATAAATTACCTGTACAAAAGATGCTATTTCATTATTGCAACATATTAATTGCTCTGTTTCAACATAATTAGCAGCCTCCCCACTTTCATCTAAACCTCTAATATTGTAGCGAGTACCTAGCAGTTTATGATATATGCATATGTATTTTTTACTTTTAAATTAAAACAATTTTTTAAGACGTCAATGAGGAACAGGTTAAGGTTGTCCAATTAAAATAAAACTTCAGAAATCTGTTATTTTTAGTCAAATGTCACATTTTAGGGGTTACTCAATAAATATCTCAACCTTTGATTTCGCATATATATATATATATATATATATATATATATATATATATATATATATATATATATATATTTATATATTTATATATATATATATATATATATATATATATATATATATATATATATATATATATATATAAATATATAAATATATAAATATATATATATATATATATATATATATATATATATATATATATATATATATATATATATATATATATATATATATATATATATATATATATATATATATATATATATGAAATATACTTTACCTGCTCTATAACAGCTCCTACGAGATATCAATATAAAATCTAATGGATATTGCTTTATAGAGCACTTTTTTATTTCTACAACTTGAAATTTTTGTTAAGAAAATTTTGCTTCTAAACTATATGTTTTTGTGTTTTAATAATATTTTGGAAAAAAAAAACTTTGAGAAATAAACAGCAGAAATGTTGATCTAATTGATAGAAAATTAAAAAAAAACTCTTGCAGAAATCAAAGGAAACAGAGATAGTTGACACCTTATGCTACCTAACAAGAGATAAATAACACCTAGTACCACATAAAAAGAGATAACTAACACCTATTATCACAAGAATGTGAACAAGACACAGTATCATCAACAAACACTATGGAACACTTTTATTGTATTTATCAATTATTACTATATTATTATATTATATTATTGTATAAATTTTTTATTATTGTTGCTGTACATTGCTATTAAATAAAAAATTCTATAAAATATTTTGTTGTGAAAAAATGACAAAAATGCAAAAACTTTGAGTAAAAAGAACACGAAAAAGATACATCCATGCATAAGTGGAAGTACAAATGAACTAAGCTAAAAAAAATAATCAAAAATATTATTAATTAACAAGATAAGTAGTTGATGATAAATACAAAAATTAACAAATATAAAAATAATTAACTATAAAAAAAAAATATTAAATAATATCTATTTTTAAGAAAATTAATAAACAAGATTCTACCTCAGGCTGCACAATAAACAAATTCAGCATACTTTGATTCCATACAAATCGATGATCAGCCTGATAACAAGAATTCACTTTATGTAAAAAAATGTAATAATAACAAGAAAAACAAATTATAAAATTTAATAGTGTAACTAATAATAATAGTAATGATTAAGTATTAACTCTTTCATAAAGAGGAGCATCTTTAAAATCACTACTTGTGTTGTACAATCGCTGAGCAGAATGAGTTATATCAAAAGTGTACGAAAAATAAAAACCATCTGTTTGCAATGCACTTGATGCCATTTGTATAAAAATTTTATTATCTCGAATCTAAATTAACATAAAAATAACAACAGAATAAAGTGGCATTACAATGTCTAAGTTTTACTGACTACTTTTGTTAATACTTGGTAAATTTAAAATGGGATTGCCATAAAAAGATATCTTGTGCTGATTGAAGTTTGTTACCTGACTTTCAGTAAGATGTGTAGTACTTTTTGGAAAAGGTATTAAATCAGCTTCTTTCATTTGCCATATTTCTTCGCCATTGATAAGACCAACAACTTTTCTCTTTGAGACAACAACCAGATAAGGGCCTTAAAAGTAAAATATTACAAATTTTCACAAAACAAGGTTATTTTTAAAACAACAACTATGAAAAATTAAATTTTTACACATATATATATATATATATATATATATATATATATATATATATATATATATATATATATATATAAATATATGTACATATATATATATATATATATATATATATATATATATATATATATATATATATATATATATATATATATATATATATATATATATATATATATATATATATATATATCAGTGGAGTACACTGGATTTTTAGATGTTTGAGTTTTGACACTTTTTATTTTTTATTTTTTTTTATTCACCTCCTCAAGGCCGAGAAGGCCACTACAGACAAGGAGGCTACTTAATAGTGGTTATAACCCTCTCTCAACTCTTTAACTCCGAAACACGAACCTTGACGAACAAGGCCGCTGCGCGGAGAAACAAGTTAAGCGCGGTACTACCAGGGACGTGGTGGGGATCGAACTTGGAACCTCTCGCTTATGAAGTGAGTGTTTTACCACTACACCACTTACATGCATTTTGCAAACTCCAAACTTTTGAATGTTTTTATTTATGTCAAATGAGAATGTTTTGAAAAAAGTTGTGGTGATTGGAGCTTGGGGACAAAAAACCCCAATTTTTGGGCCCACTTAGCCCTTAATGTGGGAGCAACAAGTTGGTAAAATAATTTCTTTAGTATTTTTATCCAAGTTTATATTCATCAAAGAATTTCAAATTTCATGCAATAACCTCTTAGTTTTTAGTTTTTATGACCCTACAAAGTTTACAGCCCCCTCAAATTGAGGGGGGTTAAAACTATATATGGTCATAATTTTCGAAAAATAAGAAATTATTGGATGAAATTTGAAATTTGTTGATGAATATAAACTTAGATAAAAATATTTAAAAAATTATTTTAACAACTTGTTGCTCCCACATTAAGGGCTGGGTAGGCCCAAAAATTGGGGTTTTTTTGTCCCCAAGCTCTTATCACCGCAACTCTTTGCAAAACATTCTCATTTGACATAAGCATGAACATATAATAGTTTGGAGTTTGCACAATACCTGTAAGTCTCAAAACTCAAACATCTATAAGTCCAGTGTATGCCACAGTATATATATATATAAAATTTAAATAATAAAAAATAACACCTAGTACCACATAAAAAGAGATAACTAACACCTAATATCACAAGAATATGAACAATACACAGTATCAACATTATATATATACTTTATATATATATATATATATATATATATATATATATATATATATATATATATATATATATATATATACATATAATTTAAATAAATTCGACAACTATAAGCCATATTATTGATAATATGGCTCATAATTATTGATAATTATTATTATTGATGGTTATCAAATGACATGAAACTTAGAGTTCCATAATAAAGTTGTATTTTTTCATTTAAATTATCTTGTTTAAAATTCGTAATGTTCTAATTTATTGGCTAGCAAAAAAGTATAAAGTTGAAAAGAATAATGTCAGTCATCAACTTAAGGAGTGAAAATCACCCATTAAAAAGAAAGTCAAGAAATCAAGAAAAAAACAACAACAACAACAACAAAAATTAAAACTTGATCAAAAAGTGATTAGATGCAAATCCCTAGCATTCCATTCGAATATATATAAAATAAAATGGTATTCCCTAGTCTATAATCCAAGAACTCAAAAAAGAGATGAGGCTTCAAGACATGCAGGAAGCAGAAATTCCAAAGAAGATCCAACAACAACTCAGTAAAGACCAAAAACACATTCAAAAAACGCTACAAGAAAAGCTTTAAAGAAATCAAAAGTACGATTTCAAAAATCAAAATAATGGATGGTAAAACCTGCTGAAAACTTAACTGTTGAATGCTCCCAGGCCAGCAATTTTACAATCTTTAAAATAATTGAACCTGGTGTTTTGCATAAAACAACTAAAACTAAAAAAAAATCAGTAAGAAAGTTGTGGTTTGGCCGTTTGTTAGTGTGATTTCAAAACTTAGCAATTTTTTATGAATGGAAACATAAACTCTAACATTTTCTAATATTTTATTCATGTGATATTAGTTTACATAAAACAATGTTTAAAAAAGCGACTTATGCCTATGATTCAAAAGCATGATGATCCATCTTCTGGCTTGATCTTGCCATTACTAAAGAAGTGTAATTGAAAAGTATCAAAAAAATGACATCAATTTTATCCAAAAAATCGAGTCAACATGCCACAACTTTTGTGTCTGAATGAAAAATTTTGAAGAACTAAAGAACTTTAAAATCAAACACATATTTTGTTTTTAGATTTAGAGTAATTTTAGCAGTATTATGAGTTTTAATGTCAGCCACAATTGTGATTATTTAAAAATGTAGACAATTAAATATAAAAAAAGCAATTGCCAGCAATTAACTGTACAATTAAAAACCTGCGATTAACTGCAGAATTCCAAGTATGCCATAAATTTCCCTTACTTCAGCAGATCGTGGAGGAATTTGACCTTTGTTTTCTATGAAATAATTAAGTTTTTTTAAATAATTTTCAACAAAATTAAAACAATTTAAAATTAATTATAAAATTTTAATTTTATTTAATAAAGAAATTTTTTTTTTCATTCTGTACTGTTTTAAAAGTTAAGAAAAACCAGCACCATTAAGAAAGAGTTCATTAGTAAGTCTGTCAATCTCTAATATTTTAGGATTTTCACCCACATGAACAAGTGGTTGAACATAAAACTTTTCAGCAGTTGTATATCTATAAAATAATAACAAAAAAATATTAATAAACAAGTTTTTTTATAAAAATCTATTACAGTTATAAAAAAAAGTTTTTTTTTTTTTATAATCTCCTACTATGAAAATTAAAAAAAATAAAGCACACAAACTAATTAAACGTATTGGGATCTAAGATAAAACAAATAAATAATTGTGGGGGTGTATGTTTTTATTATTGGTTTCCAAAAGTCTTTATGTAACCAATATCGACTAAATATCTACTTCAGTAAAGAATATATATATAGAAAAGCTCTCAGCTAGTTATAAATAGGAATTAAGTTATCAAGTAAATGTATTATTAAAAAAACACAAAGATATTTAAAATAATAATGCACATAAACAATTTTAGAGATTAGGAAAATGGAATTGTTTGTTAAATAAATTTGATGAATCAAATTACCATGGACTAATAATTTTATGCAACATTTATAAACAGTGTTTCAAGATATTTGAAGAAAATATAGAAAATAAATTTTGATAATTATATTTGAGAATTTTAGGGATAAGTTCCAAGTTTCAGTTAATATTATTAAATTTGTACATTTATTGATTCTGTTTATAAACTATATATTCTAGAGATTTTTTGATGTTTCTTTTGTACAGTGATTCAGATGGTCATGATTCATACAGGTTCAGTGTAAGTGATTCAGATGGTCATGATTCATACAGGTTCAGAAGTGAATCAGATGGTCATGATTCATACAGGTTCAGTGTAAGTGATTCAGATGGTCTTGATTCATACAGGTTCAGTAGAAGTGATTCAGATAGTCATGATTCATCTATTGATTGAACGAGTTTATCAAGTCTATTTAATGTGGAATCAGAATGTTTCAGAACCTATCATTTTAATAAAAGTTACAAATGTTTTAAAACTCTTTTTCTATTTGGCAACAAGCAATTGTTAAAGTATCTTTTTGAACCAAAATGCTTTTATATTATAATTCTGTGCTATATACAATTAACCATTAAATATTGTTTACATCATATAGTGATAGATCTTTTGTATTACCTTTTACATACTATTTAGATCTACATGATACGACACAAATTATAAGAAATGTACTAGCAGTAATAAAAAAAAATATTCACACAAAAAATCAAACACAAAAAAATGCTCAATTATATGGGTGCAAGTACTCAAGTAATGATTGGCAATAATAAATTATACTAATAATTAGATACAACAACATTACAAGCACTTTAACTATCAAAATAAGAATATTTAAAAAAATGAAATATTATAATAAAAATATCAGTGATTCAAAATTTTGTAGTAATTCAAAATTCTATAAATTTTTTTTAGGTATGCTACATAAAAATGAAATATACAACTGTATAGTAGTATTGTCACGGTACTGGATAAATTTCAGTATTCAGTACCAACACCTATCAAAATACTCTGTACCAAATTTGGTACCTAAATGAATAAAGAATTATACTGACCATAAACCAAATTATAAGCATGCATACTGCACAACATCGTAAATTCAAATTTTTTGAAAAAACTTGTATTTTTTGTATTTCTAGTCTATCTAAAAACTTTCTGAATAAAGTATATAAAAATATTTAAAAATTTTTGGTAAATGACTTACCTCCTACCTATCAGAGACCGCTAGGAATTTCCAAAACATTTCAAATTAGGCTTTAAATGACGGTAATGATGCCATCAAAAAAGTTATGCAGTGATTTTTTGTTAAAAAAATTTAAAAATTATTCATTTCAAAAAAAGTCTGTAGGCTAGTCGCTAGATTAAACGACAAATGATATTCAACAATTTATCTTTAGATACTAGGTTTAGTTTCAAGGAAAAAAATATTAAATATTAAAATTTAAATTAAAAAAAAATTCATAAATTTAATACTAATACAAATTATTTATGTCCATAAAAGGATAAAAGTAGCACAACCAGTTATAATTCAATCACTAAGAACTGGTTATAAACATTTAAACTTTTAAATATGCCAACATCTTATAGGAGTCACTAAGAATTGGTTATAAACATTTAAACTTTTAAATATGCCAACATCTTATAGGAGTCACTAAGAATTGGTTATAAACATTTAAACTTTTAAATATGCCAACATCTTATAGGAGTCACTAAGAATTGGTTATAAACATTTAAACTTTTAAATATGCCAACATCTTATAGGAGTCACTAAGAATTGGTTATAAACATTTAAACTTTTAAATATGCCAACATCTTCTAGGAGTCACTAAGAATTGGTTATAAACATTTAAACTTTTAAATATGCCAACATCTTATAGGAGTCACTAAGAATTGGTTATAAACATTTAAACTTTTAAACATTTTATAGGAGTATATCAATCCTAAAAAAAAATCAAGCCCTAAATAAGGTAAATTTCATTTTAATAATAATAATAATAATAATAATAATAATAATAATAATAATAATAATAATAATAATAATAATAGCAATATTATTAATTAAAGTAATAATAAAAGTGGTTTAAAAAAGTTAACCTAAACTTTTGTAGACTAAGTAACCATAAAATAAACACACCTTAAATTTTTTCATTAAATCAGGATTTTAAATATTTTGTGAGATTAGAAGCGTTGCCACTTTTTGTAATAAAGACTCTCCTAAATCATTTACAAATTTTGCTTATATTTGTCAACTATATTACCTATGTTGTAGGTAGCAAATAAGAAATACTTCCATATCTTGCTTTGACACCCTTTTTTTTTATAAGTGTTATTCTTCGGGTTTCCATTTTTAATTTTGTTTTTTAATTAAAATTAAAAACTTCTGTTTTCCATTTAGATTTTTGACAATTTCTGCGTAGAAAACTTTAACTAAAAGTCATACTTATTTTATATATAAAATACAAAACAAAAATAGAGCTTATTAGCGTAAAATAAGGATGAAATAGTGTATATACACTATTACATTCTTATCTTACGCTCTTACGCTTAACTTATAGATGGTAATTATGAAAATCTAAATGAATAAAAGGGGAGTTATAGATATCACTATTGTTTTATTAAAACTGCTTGGTAATAATGTTAGTATTAACTCACTTTATACTTAGAAAGACTTTTACTGTAACTACTTTTTTAATAAAGAACTATGTTGGTACTGAAGTAAAAAGTACCATGACAACACTACTGTATAGTGAAATATTAAAACTACTATTAAGAGTTTTGGAAAACAACTTCGATAATTGGCAACTCAAAAAATTTAATAATTACGTATACATGTTAGTGTTGACTTACATGTGGAAAGTATAACAATAAGTCTTTTTTTAATTTGTTTTTTCTTGCTGTGTTCGTGAATATCTTTACTCAATATATATACATTTGCAAATACCCCCGAGGGTATAATTAATTATTATTATTTCGTAATATTGAGGACTAATGTATTTCAACAAGAAAATGTTTTTTTATCAAATGAAACTTTGTACAATATTTAGCAGTGTTTCAATTATTTTTATGAAAGATTATGCATTTCTTTAATTTTCAATATATTTGTTTTAATATATTTATTAATTTAATCAAGTTTATTCCTACTTTTGGGTTAAAAGTTGTTATTGTTAAAATGTTATTTTGTTAATTCAACTTTTAGAATTTTAAAAAGAGCTTTTGAAACAGTATTAGTTCTTTCTTATAAAATTCATACAATTAATGAGTTTTACACATACAACTTGTGCTTGCGAACTGTGAACTTTTAAAATGAAAAATCTAAAAATGAAATGCTCTTGTTTTTTTGAACATGCAACATATGATCGACCATAAGATAAACACGTTTTTTTTTTTTAATATACAATAACTTCATCAAACATTTGACCTTGACTTTTATTGATTCTCATTGTATATGCCAATTAGACACGAAACTGAAAAAGTTTCAGAACAAAAGGTAAATTAGAATCTGACAAAGCCAATTGAACTTTACAAGCAAATACCTGTTAACCACCAGAAAAACCTGTCAAAACCTCAGCATCAATACAATTATTCTGAAGAACACAAACTTTTATTCAAGTATTGCATAGCCCAGTTTTATTATTGCATACTGCATAGCCCAGTTTTAAGATCCAAATTTCAAAGTAACATAATTATACAACCAATTTTAAATTTTAGACAATGAGAAGACATACCTGTAGGAATTAGGCTGTTTAAAATTCAACAAAAAAGTTAATTCTTTAACAACGGTTGTCATTTAATAAGCACTTAAATAAGCTTTGACCTTCGAGTACTTGCTTGTTGATTGACAGTCAATCTTCATTAGAGGGTGTTAAATAACTCATTTAGCATAATTATCTCATTCAGTATCTCCATACCTCTTATCAACAATTGAACCATTAATTTCTAATAATTGAATAGATGCAGAGTTTTAATACAACCTTTAAAAGGATCTTCCTTTAGACAGGTATTGTTCCACTAGCAGATTTTAATAGCGATTGTTAAAACTCTCCCTTCCCATTGTGTGCTCTCATATTTTTAGTTAAAGCAAACTTTTGCAGCAATTACCTTTGTAATGAACATTTTATACATGCTTTTGAAGCTTCAGCTGGTTGCTCTCTTTTTGCAAAAGGCACTATTTGCCTAAATTTGTCACCAAAAAAATTATTTTGTTTCCAAATGGAAAGTTGTTGTTGCAAACAAATAGTGGAAAGTTGCAGTAAACAAACTATAAATTGGATTGAAGGCATGTTTGGCGTGTAAAATAAATGTCATCAGGCAAAAATAATAACTTAATATGACCTTTAAAAAAAATGACCTTTATACATAGATGCTACCTGACCAAATGCATACCCATAGTCAATGTATTTGAAACCTGCACACACAAGTTAAATTTTACAAAAGTAGCCTTTAATAAAAAATAAAATTTAAACCATATAATTATTTAATTTTGAAGGGAACTTTCATTTAAAAAATACTAAATTGTAAAAGTTAAATTTTAAAATTTCATAAAAAAAAATATTAAGTTGTAAAAGTTAAAAAAATGTCAATGATTGATTAATAGAATATTGTTTTATGTATATTTTATATATTTAGGCACCTAAGTTATTTAAACAATTAAACGTATTTGATAATAGTTATTTACATTACAAGAAAATTCTTTAAATAAAAAATAGACTTAATTAATTAATTAAATTTCAAAAATAAACAGATTTTTTTATGATTTCTTGTTTTTTTAAATGTTTCATTTTTTTAAATAGATTTAGTTTTTTAATGAAGTTTATTGACTCTTACTGAAAATTTTTTTATTTAAATTTAAATTTAAATTATTTAAAAAATAAATGCATATAAATACAGCACATAGTAAAATAAAAAAGAAACAATTACAAGCGTAAAACTTTGTAGATGCCCATCACATCATCTTTTTAACTGATGGTAGATTTGATTAGTTAGGATTCCTGAAACGTAAAACAAATTAAAATTAAAAATGGAAACCTCCTATACCTAGACCAAATACATTGAGTTTTTCATATTTAGTAATAATATTATTGATATTAATAATATCAATAATTTCTAGATTTCTAGAAGGATTATTAAAATTTAGGGTTGTCATACTTTATTGGAAAGTTGTATTGATAATAAATACAACTTTCAATTAAAGTATTACAACCCTATATTTTAATAATCCGTCTAGATGTATTAGACAAAAGCAAAATTTTATTCTGTTTATTATTTAACCATTTTGAATAATTTTTATTTATTTGTCATGATCCTTTTTTTGTTTGTTTGTTTTTTGTATTAAAATCATTAATTGTATCATTAAAGCATGTATGTCGAGAATAAAAAACTTAAATATATAAATTAAAAAATAAGTTTTTTATTTAACATTTGCTTTTATAATCTGATTTTTGCATTTTATGAATGAATGATAAAATTTAGAATTCTTCTAATTTGAAAAAAAAAATTAACGTTGTTTTTAATTTAATAGAACGTAACTTTTAAAAAGTAAACATTAACTTATAAATCACGCATGCGTTTTAGATTTATTACACGAACTGGCCTAAAAAAAATTGTTTGTAAATTTGTGCGTGCAAATTTTTCAGTGCATAAACGACTGTGAGCACTTATTTAAGTTTTTTTCTATACATCGCACTTATGGAAGGTTTGCACATCAAATTATGACATAACATTTTCTACTTTTTTAAACCTTTCCTTTCCTCTATGTTTAAGATATTATTAAGAACCCTCTTTGTATACAAAGAGAGTTCATAATAACGTCTAATAATAATACTAGTATTTAATGATAGACGCAATTTTAAAAAATCAACTTTTTTTTAAATTTTTCGCTATCCTTTATACAATACAAAAAATCAACACTGTACAAAAAGTTTTTTACTTAAATCTTTTATCAATTAAATAGTTTATGTTATTATCAGAATCGATTCGCGAAGAATATCTGATTTGACAGACACAAGAGATAATTTTTATTATAGATACATAAAATATATATATAAAAAAAAATTGTAATAATTTATAAGGTATCTTAACTTCTATGTAAAAAATATTTCATTTGAAGAAATGAAAAAAATCTTTCGAAAATTACCATTAGAAATGCTAAAATGCTTTTTGTAATTTTGAGTCACAGTTCGTTTAAAAGATATCCTGCTCCTGCTAATTTAACTCAATATTTCTTAATTTCATGTTATGCTAAGTTCATAGAGAGTAAAATATCTAGTTTTTTGCCTTGTTACAAATATTTTTTGTTTTGTTTTAAATGTTTAAACGTGTTCATTTTTTTTATTACATAAACTTTGTAAAAAGGCATTCGTAATTTATTTTAAGAAACCAGTTTATGTAAATTAAATATTTGGCTTGAAATATTCAACTGAAAACAACAAGTTTAATGAAATGTTTTTGTTTGTTTTTTTTGCGTGCCGTAAGTAACTCAACTTTTTGCGTACCGTAAGTAACACAGTATATAATTAACTATAAATCCTAAACTTATAATTTTTGAACGAAACTTCAATATACAAGAAAACAAATAAATGTTTTTGGGATGATTCATAAATATATAAACATATAATCTGTTAAAATAAAAAATATACATCTTAAATATATAAAAATTCATTAATATTATAAACATGTAATCAGTTAAAATATATATATATATATATATATATATATATATATATATATATATATATATATATATATATATATATATATATATATATATATATATATATATATATATATATATATATATATATATATATATATATATATATATATATATATATATATATATATATATAAATGTGAACCACAAAAATCAAAAAGTCCTATAAATAACCTTGGAATTGCCCTATTACTTCCTAAACGACGCACTATGAGCCACTAAGCGGAAATAGGATTATACTTACATTTCTTCAAGATTTTTTCGGTTTTAACTTTTTAAACATTTTTTTTAATGGAATTAAGATAGTATTTCCTAAATTCCAAACCACATTTCTTTAACCACTGCGCCACGGCGCAGTGGTTAGAGAAATGTGCTTTGGCCTATAATTTGCATCATCGTAAGGAAGGAGGCGTGAACTTCCTGGTTAAATGCACTTCCGCGGTGCTCTGTGACAAGACCGTTAGGACTTCTTGGAGCACCCAAATAATAACAAATAAAAAAAATAAAATAAAAAAAGATTTTTTAAAACTTTTTCAATATTTCTTTTTTTAAGAAGAGGAGTATAAATTTATAAAAAACACAAGTTTTTTATAAATTTTTGAATTGCTAATGATAAAAATCTAACTTTTGTATTATGGTTATTTATTTTCAACTTAATGATAAATTAGATTAATTAAAAGCAAGAAAAGTCGAGAAAAGTTTATCTAAATTATTACAAAGATTAATGGATTAGTTTATGTTACTAGAGAGGAAGCCGGTTTTTTATTTGATACAAATTTAACTCAACAAATCAACATTTTATAAACAAAAAAATATTTTGGCTAAAAAATATCTTACTGTAGTAAGATACTTCAATTCATTTTTACGGGTGTGAAACGTGTAGAAAACCAGATTAAATTATTCTCCTAAAACCAAATCCAGAAAAAAAGAAAACCTCTGGTTTTCTAAGTTTTTAATTTTTTTTTTTAAATATGTACAAAAATAAATTTATGATTTACTGCGTAAAAATATGTTTAAAATATATCTCGGATGATTAACAGCTTTTTGTTGTTGTTGTAAGAATCCGACGCTTGTGCGACGGCGCACAGCTACTCAGGATGATTAAATAAAGGTAAAAACTCAACATTATTTGATAAATATTGTATTTTTGAAATTAGGGGCGGATCCAGACCAAGGAGGGGGGAGGTGAATTTTTGATTTTTTTAGCAACCCCATAAATCTTTTTTAGTTTTTTACTTTTTTAACACTCTTAGACTGTCTTGACCAGTGTAACTACGAAATGGCGCCATATATTAGTATCTCGTTATGGCGCCTTATATTAGTAATCCGATTTAAAATTTGCACCCTACAACTTAACTGAATCACTTTTGAACTATTTTATTTTTTATTTTGTTATGTTTAAAAGCCTAAAAGCCAAAAGGAATTTATAGGAATTTCTAAATTCTAAATTCTTGTTTTTTCAATTGCTGTATATATATATATATATATATATATATATATATATATATATATATATATATATATATATATATATATATATATATATATATATATATATATATATATATATATATATATATATATATATATATATATATATATATATATATATATATATATATATATATATATATATATAATTGTTGATAGGTATAGTATTCTGTTAAAAATACAGCTCTTGTCTGCTTAAGAGTGATCAATATTTCTTTGTAAAATAGATCAAATCATATTTATATAATTTAAATGAAAAAAAATACAACTTTTTATGGAACTATTAGTTTCATGCCATTCGGCAATCAGTCAGCCATATTATTCAAAATTTACAAAATAAAAAACCGTTAAAATATACAATTTTTTAGCGTTGCAACGGTATCTGACGTCAAGTTTACGTCAGGCGATATCATGAGTTCCTAATCTCCGGTATCGAATTGTGAAAACAGAAATTTTTTTCTATGCCTGCAATAAGGGACCAACTCACAATTTTTTTATTAAGTAATGATCCTTGATCATAAGTCATAATTAGATATTTTTCATATAGACAAAAATTACATTTTTTAATTGATGGATTATATGATTGACACTTTATAATTATGTTCCACTTGATTAACGGCATAATACCTGCATTTTTATGTTTCCGTATTTCTTTAGAAAGTTCTGTATCGTTTTCGTATTTAGTAGCGTTAAATGATTTTAAATGGTTTGTATACCTAAGCTTGAATGAGCTTTCACTGATACCAATATATGATTATTCGGAATTACTAGGGTTAGCTAAAGATATATTGTGTATAAAGCCACTAGGCTTTATACACAATATAGAGCCACTTTATATAAAGCCACTAGGCTTTATACACAACATTTTCAGATAAGCATTGATTGATTCAGACAGAACGTAATTAATTGGTTCAAAAATATTAAAGATAAACACATTTATAAATTTCTTATTTTTGACAATTATTATTGTTGATTTTTATCCTTCAATTAACGAAAAACTCCTTATCAACTCCAATCACTTTGCAGAGCAATATGTTACCATTGCTACTGAACGCAAATTTTTGATTCTTCACGCGCGAAAATCATTATTATTTACCAACGACCAAGTTTGGATAAAGAAATCGAGTGGTTTGTTTGTAACCATGTAACCATGGATGCATTTGATGGTGCGGAGGTTTATGAACTAGTTGGAATTTTCTTTCTTTTCCAAATTTCCCAATTTTACAGCAAGCATGATTTGGGGTTGTATAGAGATTCCTAACCCTAACCCTAACCCTGACTAAATTTTGACATTTTACTCCTAAATCAGTGTTTTTTTAGTAATATACCACCTATATATAAAAGAAAAAAAAGAAAAAAAGGATAGAAAAAACCTAATTTGTTATCCGTATTTTCGGCGTAAGATCTTTTGACAAATAATTTTGACCTACTACAATTTGATCTACCCAGTAGAAATGCTACTAAAAATTATAATCCACAGTAGCGGATTAAGACTTTTCGAGGTCTGAGGCTATTTTTTGGACAAAAATGACTTTAAAAAAAAAGGTCCATAAAACTATTTGGTGCTCCTTAATCTAGCACTGCCCCCCCCCCCCCCAATATAGTTTTTGTTCCTACGAACCTGAATAATATGTGATAATAATATGTAATAACAATGTATAATAATATCAATAGAGTTTACATAACAATAACAGTAATATAGTAAAAAATAATATTAATAATAGTAATAAAAATAATAAAAAAATTATAATAATATACGATTAAAATCAAGCAAAAATGTTATGACCTTTATCATCAAATACAAAACCTCACCGTCAGATACAAAAAAAAAATCACGT